ATGAAGTGACCGCGCAAGTAGTAAGCCGAGCAGCAGGTCGATCCCTCGCAAAGCGTGGACGTCAAGTTTCACCTCAGACAGTATCCTCCCGCTGGGTGTGAATGAAAATGTTGTTGTTGTTGTTTTGTTGTTGTTGTTGTTCTTGTTTTTGCCGCTGTTGCTGCTGCTGGCTTTTCTTGCCGCTGCTTGCTTTACTGTTGCTTCTTTGTTGCTGCTGCCGGTGCTGTTGGCTTTTCTTGCTGCTGCTGTTGCTGTTGCTGTTGTTGCCTCTGTTTCTGTTGTTTTTGCTTTGTGTTGCTCCTGCTGCTGCTGCTGCTGCTGCTGCTGCTGCTTTGTTTCTGTTGCTCTTGTCGTTGCTTCTGCTGTTGCTTCTGCTGTTTCTGCTGCTGCTGTTGTGGGTGTTTGTTGTGTGTGTGTGTGTTGCTGCTGTTGCGGCGGTTGTTGCTGCTGTTTCTGTTTGCTGTTGCTGTTGTTTTTTGCTGCTGCTGTGCTGTTGCGCGCTGATTTTGTTCTTTTGGCTGTTGTTTTCGTGATGTTGTTGTTGCTGTTGTTGTTGTCGTTGTTTCTGGTGTTGCTGTGGCTGTTGTTGTTGTTGTTGTTGCCTTTGCTGCTCTTGTTCTTGCTTGTGTTGCTGCGGCTGCCGCTGTTGTTGCTTTTGTTGCCTTTCCTGCTGCGGCTGCTGCTTCTTCTTCTGTGGCTGCTTGTTGTTGCTGCTGTTTCTTGTCGTCTTTGTGGTTGTGTTTTGTTTCTTGTGTGTGCGTTGGCTGTTGTTGCTGTGCTTGCCGTTGTTGTTGCTGCTTGCTTTGTTGTCCTTGTGTTTTTTTTTTTCTGGTGCTGCTGTGGTTTGTTGGTGTTGTTGCTGCTGTTCCTGTCTTTCTGCCCTCTTGGTGGGGTGTTGTCTTCTTCCTCTGCTTGTGTGTTGCTTCTTTGCTGTCCCCGCTGCTGCTGCCTCTGTTGCTCCTGCTGCTGCTGTTCCTGCTGCGTTTTTTTTTTCTTGTGTGTGTGTGTGTGGGGATTCATAGGCCTTGTTATGCTTGAAGTACTGAGGATTGCTCCCTGGCTGCAGCCCTTGTTCTTAAAGGCATGACGGCCATGGCGTCCCCACTCGAGTTGGGTCGTCACATTGAAGACCTCAGCAAGAGATGCCTGCAACGCATCCGATCTGCAGGAGGGCCAATCGTGTCTTCCACGCTCCTCCATGCGACTTGGTCTAAACTACATAGCACCATTGGCAAATGCCGTCGCATGACGCAGGAGCTACGGCAGCATTTAAATGCGACCTCTCTGAATATGCCGGATTTCAGCGATTGTGTTTCCAGCCTCGTCAGAGCTCTGGACTGCTGCAATTCCGTCATACGAACACAGATGAATGAGGCATGCGTGTCTGCTATTGATCATGTTGATCATCCCACTGACAGCTGCGCTTTGAGACTTGGCTGTGGGTCTCCAGGACGGACAGGCTGCTTGGATGTGGCAGGAACTACGGTTCTTTTCAATCAGATGTTTACAGGGAATGTCTCAATTTTGGAAGCCATGAGAGAGTTGGATATCCATGCAGTGGGCCTTCCGGGTGCTAGGCTTCAGAAAAATTTCACTCTCCCGCCTTCGCTGAATTGCGGCTTGTTTTGCAGAGGAGGGCCATCATATGCAAGTGTTGCTGTTCTTTTTCGCAACACGTTTCGGGACTGTTTCCACCTCCTCTCAGATGTGGGGAGTGATAGAAGAATGTGGATCCAGATCAAAGTTGCGGGGGTCACAAAGCTACTATGGCTGGTATTCTACCTGCCACAAGGCTCAGATCAAGGGTCTGACGTGTCTTGGCAGGCAGAAATGGATGGACTGGAAGCTGATTTACTCAGTATAGAAGCCGACTTTCCGAATGTCCCCCTCGTACTTTCAGGTGATGCAAATATACAACCACAGGCATTAGGAGGCGGTCCAGATAGATTTCCGCGGCGTGACTCACGATTGGCCGACATTCTATCGCGCAACAATTTTCAGCTGGGTAACCCTCCTGCGCCCCCGTTTCTTTACCATTGAGAGGCCAAATTGTGCACGTGGCCCCAGGTCACACACATCATTCGCATCTTGGCGCGTCTAGAGCCATTGATCTGGTCTTGGCTTCTGCTGGCCTCGTGATTACCACGTGTGTCCATAATTCTTTGCATTGCAAGGGCTTAGATTGTGCCTGGGATCTATGTCATGAGTATACGCTTGGAGACCATTTTCTGCTGGATATCTCTGTTCCAAACGTTTTGCTTACGCCCTCGTTTCAAGCGAGTGAGAAACCACCATCTGGTTGGGAAGATCAACAAAGATGGATGCAAGGCTTTCGTGAGAATGCTCTTACGTGCAGGGCCTTCTCTTCATCAATTGAGCCCCTTTGTGCGCACATTGAAAGCTTGCCGAGTGGCAGCAGGCCTTCTCGGCGTGTTGCTGAATGGCTGGCCGATAGTTGCGCGTGCATCTTGGCCACCATTGAAGGACTGGTTAGAGACGGTTGGGTTTTGGCTGCTCAAATCCCGAGAACCAAGTGCAGTCGCCGGCTTACCACCCCTGAGCCTTTGATTGAGTCATGGCAGAGTCTCAGAGCTTGTTCTTCAATTGAAGAGTGGTTTGCCTCGGAAGCACAACATCATGCTGAACCTGTGCTGCAATCATGCCTAAAATGGCTGAAGCCCGTTTCCCCCTCCCCGCCTCTTCGTCTCTGCGACTCATCATCAATTGCTCCTCTCTCGCCAAGTGCGAGCCACCAGCAGTGGGTTGCAGCAATTAGACAACAATTTGTCGTACCTGAAGGGTGGGGTCAAGAGTTCCACCGCCTCATTGAGCGGAAAGCTGCAGGTATCTTGGGCATGGAGCTGCGCGCTATTGGTAGCGATCCAGCAGATGTACCTATTTCACAATCAGATTGGTTCTTGGGCACCTCTTTTTGGGATTCCTCGAGTGCAATTACGCCGAATCTTCTCCCCAGATGCCTTTTTGATGTTCCAGTTGAAGGATGGTCCGAATGTGCTTGGCTGTGCATGCGGCTATGTGGACCTGCTTGCCTGGCTGTACGCCCTGAAGTTTGGCGCTGGAAGCGAGTTAAAGCAACTTACAAGAAAGGCCCTTCAGACTCTGCCTCCAGTTATCGTCTCATCACAGTCATGCAAAACCATGGTTTGCTTCAGGAGCACATCCTATTTTCCAAGGTGGCTGGGCGTGTTCAGGGTGCTATTTCCTGCTTTCAATCCGGGTTTTTGAGAGATGTTGCCGACCCACACTTTTCTTTTCATGAAATTTGCAGCATTTTTCTGGAACGCAATCAACCTTTGCTTGCTTTCTTCGCTGACTTGGTTAAAGCATTTCCGCGATCTTGGCGCGCATCTCTTATAGAAAACCTGCACTCTCGTGCAGGCTTACGAGGTGGTACCTTGGCTCTTTTCCATTCGATGCTTAAAAGCGACACATGGCTGCTACCACTCAGTGGCCTTTCCTGGGAAGAGGTGTTGTCGGGAGTCCCCGAAGGTTGTCGCATTGGGCCTCCTCTTTTCAACTTCGTGCCGGACACGTTGGTGGTGACTTTATTGGAACACAAATGTGGCGTCTCTTGGTCTAGGCCCATGCCGGAATGTTGGAAGCAACCTGTATGGCCAGGCTTAGGTACCCCTAATGCAGGCATCACTCAACAACTATTGTTAGCTATTCAGTCTGGGGCTTCGCTCCCGACTGCTTACATGCTGGGGCAGGATACAGATTTGGAAGCAAGCGCAGCACGGGCTTTGGACCTGTCTGATCCACTCCGCATTCCTGTGCTGCTGCATGCTGATGACCCGTTGTTCCTGGCCTCAAGCAAAGGCGAGCTCAGACGAATGTTGCGTATCATTGCAGCGTGGTCTAAACTGTACAAGACCTGCCTGCACGTTTCCAACAGCAAATCAGTTGTCATGGTCATCAGTAAGCCCTCCCAAAAGGAGGCTTTTGTGTCTAATGCGGTTCTCTTGTACCAGTCTTTTGCGATGCCTGCCCCGACTCCCCTGCATCTTGTTGAGTCTCATAAATGGCTCGGACTAACGTGGGACTTCCAATCCACGCTGGAGCGGCATGCGATTACAATCATTGCAGCTCAACAATCCAAGGTTGCAGTTTTAGCAGGTATGGTGCAAGGAGGCTCTTTGCCCCTCTCTGAAGGTTAGTGCTAGTCTGCGATTCGGGAGGTGGCTGTGGGGTTTGTCCCCAAGATCCCGTGAAAGACTGGATACTGCGCAGTCTGTGTGGGCAAAGACGTTGCTAGGGGCTGAGCCGTGGAGAAGCTCTGCAGTCGCTTTAGCTGAACTTGGCTGGCACATGACTGGGTCGGCGCAATGTGTGCTGGACGTTGCTTGCCGCCGAGCCAGGTTGTGGCAGGCAGCTGAAGCGAACTTAGCAGGGTCCATGTTCACCGCCTGTTATCATGTCTACAACACTTGGACGACAAGATCAAAGCATCTCCTGCATGAATGGGGCTTATTAGACTGGCCCATTTGGTGTGCCTCCGTGCCCACGACGAGAGTCAGCCTTGAATCCTATGCGTCCTACTGCAAACTTCACCTCACTGTGCTCTGTCAATCGCAGCTGCTTTCGGACCTAGCTTGCCATACTGCCCCTGTCTGGTATTCTTCCGTACCCGAATCCCCCAGCAACTTGGCGCAGCAGCTCCCTTGGGAAGCCTTACATGCAGTACTGTGTCTCATCAAATGTAGAGCGGGGCACCTGAAGCTGGGACATGTGGAGGGAAAATCGTCGCAGGCCAACGTGCAATACTGCATTGCTTGTGACCGCAGGTATTCTGCAGGAACCTTGTGGCACCATGTGTGGCTGAACTGTAACTGTTTTGAGCCGGAGAGGCGAAATTTGCGTCGCACTCTTGGCAGGGAGCTTCAAGCAAGTGAGGTCTGGATGCCTTCAACATGCGAAGCTTTCACTGATGTGCTGCTCATGGCCAAGGCGATCCATGCTAAGCATAGAAGATTTTGGAAATGCGTCTGATCTGCACAGTGGAGCCGCTGTGCCTTGAAAAGCTCACTGAGCACCCGCTTTGTCCGGTGCTCATTATAGCTTTTGATGGCCCGTCCATCTGCTCCACTAATTTTCAGGGTTGTTGTGGGTCTTTTGCTTCCTTGCCCTTGGACGGGGGCTCCTTGCAGCTGGTTTGGCTGCCAGAACAGAACAGAACAGAACTACTACTACCACTACTACTACTACTACTACTACTACCACTACTACCCTACTAGTGCTCCTTATAACTCTATAATCCCAAACCCCCTAAGCCCCAAACCCCTAAACACCTAAGCCCTTGAAGGAACAGCTCCTTGGCCTTCGTGGCCTCGATCTTCTTCGCGGTGCACATGTACTTTCAGCCCTACGACAATCGGGGCTATTTCATCCTGGCGCCTCGTCTCTTAAGGGGGCGTTCGGGTTTAGGGTTCAGGGGCTGAGGGTTTGGAGGTTTTTCATCCTAGTGCCTCGTCTGCAAACGGGTTTAGTGTTTGGGTTTAATAGGGGGGCGGGTCGTCTCTCCAAGGGATTAATGGGGCTCCGAAGGGTTTGGAGTTTTTTCATCCTGGCGCCTCGTCTCTTAAGGGGGGGGTTTGGGTTTGGGGTTTAGGGTTCAGGGGCTGAGGGTTTAGGGTTTAGGGTAGCGCCTCGTCTATATAGAGCCCTAATTATACAAAACCCTTAAACCCTAAAACCGCCTAAGCCCTAATTACCCTAATTATAAATACTCCACAGCTGTCATATGCTTGCGCCCAGAGCCCGGCACCCTGGACCTAAGCTTGAACCCTCGATTTGCCTGCCCGAGCCCTCCAAGCCTCACCTGTAGATGAAAAGACCTGCCTTTTTCAGGTTCTTTGCTGTGGTTTCTATATATAGATCCTTAAAAAGGTAGGTCTTTCGGGTCACAGGCAAACCCCAAACCTCAAGCACCTAAACCCCGAAGACCAACACCCAGAACCCCAAACCTGAGAACCAAGCTCCAAAGCCAAAGGTATAAAGGTATCCCCTAAGAAGTCCTTCTGTAACTGTAGTTTAGGGTCTAGGATACGCCAAATCCAAGTCCACTTACAGGGCACCTTCTTCCGATGCTAGGTGCTAAGATTACAGGCGCTCAAGCAAAGAAGCGCTCAAGACTGGAGCGTACTGTATTACTCTAAGGACGAGAACTTGTATGGGGGGTTGACGGTTTAGGAGCTATGGGCGCAGGTTTCAATTCCCTTCCAAACTCCAAGCGCTAAATCCTAGGCTCCCCTCCGAAATCCCGTTAGGACCGCATCGAAACCGCCTCTTTGAGAGCCATCCTCGTGACCGCCTTCCTCCAGCTCTGGTGCATCATCACGACGCTCGGTTTGGACCTTATCCTTCATCCCCAACCACCCCTAGACCCTAAACCAAAAGGTGTTGAAACTAAAACCCTAAACCCGTAACCCTAAACCCTAAGCCAAAGGTTTCTAAACAAAATCCTTAAACCCTAAGCCAAAAGGTTTTAAAAAGAAGCCCTAAACCCTAAACCCGAAACTCCCAACACCTCGACCCGAAGCTCTAGCCTCCCGAAAGTTTCAGTCCCGCAGCCTCAACCCCAGGCTCTCCACCCTGAACTTTTGGGTTCACGGCGCAGGATACCCAGAACGTACCGACACACCGAACCCTAAACCCTGAGGGGCTGTGGGGGTTTGACGCGAATTTAGTAGCGCCAGGGGTATAGGGTTTACGGGTTTAGGGGCTGAGTACCAGGGTCTACTTTAGGGTTTAGTTAGGGGTTTCGGGTCCAGGGTTTCTCCTCGGTCTCCTCGTAACAGTTCCCAACCCGCTCGGTCGAGTGTTTTGGCCCATACCTTCCAAAACTCCTGAACGAGGGAATAGGTCTCTAAGCCCTTAAATCATATCGTGGATCCTATTATTGTTATTTGATTATGGTATATACCCCAAAAGCCCGAAATCATATTAGGGATCCTGCTATAATTTAAGGTATATTCCCTAAAGGTCTGGGAATGTTCCGATGGGAGCCAGGAACGATGCCGATGTCGCCGTCGGCAATCCCAGCTTCGTTGTCGTGCGGAACTGGGTGTGTCCGGTACCCAGTTGTCCTCTCTTCGAAAGCCCTACTTGGAGGATCATGGGACTTAGTAAGTAGGGCTATAAGTACCATAATTGGGTTACAAGTAATTATAGGTATAGTTACCCTAATTATAACCCTAGTTACGAAGTCCCATGACCCTTTAAGTACGGCATGGGGGCTTTTTGTAGTTAGAATATAGGGCTCCATTAAAGGGTTCCTTTTAAAGGGGTCTATAAGGGATCTATAGTAGAGGGCTCAAGGCCCCTGTATTACTCTTTTCAAAAGCCCTAAATTAACCCTAAATCCTGAATCTGTTCTTTTGCGACGTGTCCTTTCACGGTATCTGGAACTAAGTTCCGTAAAACTCCAAGGATGAAGCGATGACTACATCCCAGCGAAGCCTCATGCAAAGGGTGAAACTGATACCCTTTAAAATCCTGTAAACTGCTTACAAAGTCCTTTCGACCCTTCAGGTTGTGATCACAAGGGAGACCCGGTTTCCTAACAAGACCCTAAACTCTGAGCCCTAGCCGAAGACCCTAAACCCTAAAACGTTTGAGCCCGCACGGTTTGGCATTTGAGGGTCCAGGATTTGGGATGCTCTTGTGGACACCTTAAGCTTTAAACCTAGAGGCTGAACCCCGTGGCCATAGAGGCACGGTCATCATCGTGTACATGCACCTCCGATTCTTCTGGCCTCTTGCCACAAAGCCCTTGTGTGCTTCCAGGGTCTGGGCTAGGGGTGTGGAGTTCAGGGTTGACAAGGTCGCAGTCTGTTAGGGTTTAGGGGTTCAGGGTTCCATTAAAGACCTCGACCCAAGAGCAATCTGCGTACTGTAGCGGAATCTTTGCTCAGTCTTACTATCGGATAAAAAAACCGAGCAAAGGTTCAGCAACAGGATGGTAGCTCTGCTAGTCTTACGCTTTCCAAACAGTGACTTTGTCGCCAGAATCTAGGGTTTTTAGGCTCTAGAAGGTAAAAGCTTCGCCCTTAAGCCTTAGCCCTAAATGGAGCATCTGTGAACTCCCAAGGATCGGAGTGCGTAGCATGCGTTGGGCAATTCCAGCTTGGCGTACTTAGACGCACGTTTTGTTTTGCTCCCTCACTCGGCTAATGGTCAACGTGCCTAGACGATCAGGATTTGCAAAGTAGGTCGTAAGAACGTGGTTAGCGGGCTGTATGTCTGCCGGCACAAGACTGTAGCAACATGTCGCGACATGCTAGCAGACTCCAGAGTGCACTAGCTCGGTCGCCCTGCCTTCATTTAGCTACAAGCGGCTGGTCGGACCACATCTGTTCTCTTGGAAAGTCCAATCTCTACACACCACCGAACAAAAAGCACTCGGCCTCGAACTGTAAGGCAGTTTCATGACCCTCGACCCGAAGGCCCTAAACCCTAAGTCCCTGAATCCTAAGACCCTAAACCCTAATTAAGTCCCTAAACCTCCAAACTCTAACGCCCTAATCCCGAAGCTCCAAAGCCCTAAACCGGCCCAGGATCGTGACATGGGGTCTTGGCCGACGCAGGCTCCGGATCTTTACTTCCCCAAAACCGCCTAAAGACAGACTCGTGAAAGTCATATATCTCCAGAGAGATAGCCCGTAGCCTCCTAAAGCATGGGGTTTAGGGGTTTAGGGTTCAGGGCCTTAGGGGTTTAGGGGTTTAGGTTTTAGCGCGTTAGGGGTTTAGGGGGTTTGGGGGTTTAGGGGTTTAGGGTTTGGGGGTTAGGGTTTAGGATTTAGGGATTCTGAGTCCTAAGCCCTACGTTGCAGACCCTTAAAGCCCTCAATCGGTCTGCTCTAGCGATAAGGGGTTTACGATTCCCCTCTAAGGCTGGTGTTTTGGTTTAGGGTTTAGGCTTCAGGGATCATACGCTGCTTTTTTGCGGAAATAATTAGTGGCTGCAGGTAAGCCGTGCTTTCATCATTCGCGTGTCGTTTCAGGTTGCCGGTCTTCGTGGTGTGCCGTCATGAGGGCTCGAAGATGGTTTCGAGCAAGAATAGGGCTTAGGGGCCCATTATACTATCTGAATCTGATAGTAAAGGAGACCCTCAAAATAGTATTGGTAATTAGTAAGGCCCCTATACTAGGGTGTCCGTTTAGGCGTGGGCGATTCCCGAACCGTCAAAAGCTCAGCGTATATTGTGGCGTTACAGTGTATCGTAGGGTCTTAGGGTTCTGTATGAGATCCTCAAGTAAGAGTTCTTTGCTGATTCTATCTTGTGTTCAGGGGGCTGGGCCTTAGTACGAAAGAACAGCCCCTCTGCCAGAAAGGTTGGGAATCACGGGCCTGTAGAATCCCTCAACAGGGGGAGTGTTTCGGTTATAGGTGTACTGCATAGACGTTAGATCCCGATAAAACCCTTCTGAGCCACTGTTGGGAGAAAACCCCGAAGAGGTTGAAGGCTTAGCGGTTTGCTATCGCATGTACGGCGGCTTTCAGACTGAGAGTTGTGTTTTCATTGCGGGCGTATAGCAGGATGTCACTAAAGATTCAGACATCGTACATCAAAAACTCGGATCCCTGAACCCTCCAAAACTTTCCGGAATCCTTGAAGGAGAAGGCAACCCTATATGTGCCCGCGCTCCGCGTTCTCGACCCCCCCCCCCCCCCCCCCCCCCCCCCCCCCCGACCCGGGCGACCACACAACAAGAACAAGAACAAGAACAAGAAGAAGAACAGCAGCAAAAACAAAGCAGCAGCAACCACGCGGAGGAACCACAGGAACCACAGGGGGGGAGGGGGGAGACAGGAACCAGAAGAACCACAAAAGGGAGGGGGAAAACCAAGAGGAACCACAGGGGGGGGGGGAACCACAGGAACCACAGGGGGGGGGAGGGGGATTACCATGGGGGGGGGAGGGGGGGGGGGGTGCGCGGATGCTGGCACATATAGACCTCTGTAAATCCCATAAAAATGCACCTCTATAACACACCCGGGCCCTGAAACGCCAAGCGCTCTACAGGATTACATACTGGTACGAGACCATCCGCGATGCGGTCCGCGTCTACCAAGGCAAATCAGGCACCCGGGACAAGTCGTTGTTTTCATGTATTCTAATTTCAAGTAAAAAGCGTGTTCTGTTTGGGAATCGTTCTTCATGTTTCATAGAACCTAAGTCCCTTAGGAAACGTTCTTCAGTTTTGGACCAACTTACCCAAGCTTCGTGTGAAAACTAATGTTTTCATTTTGGGTCTTGCGTTGGCATCATCAGCAACTCCTGAAGCCTGCAGCAACTCGAACAGCAACAATAACATCAATGACAATATCAACATCAATAACGATAACAATACGGAGAACGGTAACAACAACAATCATCATCACCATCACCACCATCATCAACATCACCACCACCATCACCACCACCGCCGCCGCCACCACCACCACCACCACCACCACCACCACCACCACCACCACCACCACCACCACCACCACCACCACCACCACCACCACCACCACCCACCACCACCACCACCACCACCACCACCACCACCACCACCACCACCACCACCACCACCACCACCACCACCACCACCACCACCACCACCACCACCACCACCACTGCCGCCACCAGCACCAGCACCAGCACCAGCACCAGCACCAGCACCAGCACCAGCACCAGCACCAGCGCCAGCGCCAGCGCCAGCACCAGCACCATCACCATCAAAGTTACCATCATCGTCACCGTCACCATCACCATCATTCATGATCAAAACCATCATCATCATCATCATCATAGTAGTAGCAGCAGTAGTAGTAGTAGCAGTAGTAGTAGTAGTAGTAGTAGTAGTAGTAGTAGTAGCAGTAGCAGTAGTCATCTGTTAGAACATTAATACTTATAGTACTACTTCTTGTTATTTTGCTTATGAGTGTATTTAGTATTGTCCTTTGCGCAGAAGGTTCTTTGAGGTTCGCAGGCATTTCGTCGAGTCAGGTTGCTGCAGCTTGGGACGTGGCCCTCTTTATGGCTGAGCATTGATATCTGCTCGAGCCAGGTGTTTTTGTGCGATACAGCAAGGCAAATGGGCCGTCAGAGCCCCAAAGCCCTAAATCCTGACAGAACTCTCTAAAGAGCTCTTTGATTGAACCCTGGTAGAACCCTATACCCTAAGCCCTAAAACCCTAAACCTTGGCGATGGATGGTGGTGCACCCCTACATGATCTCTCTCTTGGTGGTGAGGGTCGTTTGTTGCCGATGCTGCAGGATTACACGATGATGACCTACAGGGTGCCATGGTGGGATAGCCGAGGGATGAGGGTGCAGAGGCAGTGGAGTCGCAAGGTGGCACAGACGTCAAACAGTGAAAGCGGAAGTCTAAGAGTGGTAGCAAGTCAGCCTGCCTCTGTGAGGCTCTCTGTGACCTCGGCGGAAGCAGAAATAGGCCTTCAAGAAACGAAAACCCTTGTAGAACCCTTGAAAGAGCCCCCAAGCTGAAAGGTCATGGCACTTCCAAAAACACCCATGGTACCGTGACCTTCGCGGCTTGGACTGTTAGGGTTCAGCGTTCAGTGTTCCGGGTTTAAGGTTCAGGGTTTTGGGTTCAGGGTTTGAGTTTCAGGGTTCGCGGTGTACTGTTCAGGGTTGGGTTTAAGGGTTCAGGGTTCAGGGCTTTGAGTTTAAGGTTCAGGGTTTGGGTTTAAGGGTTCAGGGTTTAGGGTTTTGTGTTTTGGGTTTTAAGGTGTAGGATTTAGGAGCTCAGTTCGAGCTTTGGGGTTTCGGGCTGAGCGGTTCACAGGGTTCCGGATTGACAACCCGCGAATCCGCTGAGCCAAGCCGGCATCAAGCAACTCCCTACAGCCCAAAAATGGAAAACCTTTCTCGCCTGGTGTTTATAACCCCAAACCCTAAATACTTGCTAAACTACTTTTTGCCAAGTAGCCTTGGATCACAGGGCCGGAATTCCCTCGCAAGGGTGGGACTCGTTTGTGGGACACATTAGATTTAGGGTTGGGGTCCAAGGTTTACGTCTGTAAAGACGTACGTAATTTTTTGTGGGTTGAGTTCGTTTACAAGACCCTTACAGGTGCAGAAGGGAACTCGCAGCAAAGACCACTCCGGCTATTTAGGACCAGTACCCCCCCCCCCCCCCCCCACGACTGAAGTCCTTAAGCCCCTACTGCCGAAGCCTGAACAGGCTAGTTTCGACATAAACCGTTAGTAAACCAGCATCCTGTATAGAGCTCGCTAATCAAACATCACGCAAGCGGCTCCTTACACAAGGATTCTCAACTAACAGGTGTCCACATCAATGTGGGTGGTGTGTTTGTTCTATTGCTAGTCTCCCCATGATAATGCACAAAAAATGCGCTCACCCGGAAAATGAACCCAAAGGGCCCGTATTTTTTAACTTTAACTAAACTCTCGGATATCAACCCTACTTGGTATTCAGCCTCCGCGGATGCCGCCAAGCCCTACGACTACAAAAAATTCTTAAGTCTAGGAGTCTAGGACCCAGAGTAGGCCCTTATTCCCTTTTTTTAGGGTGTAGGTTCCCTTATAGCCCCCTTTAGCCCCAAAAGAGTATCCTTCTTATTCCTAGGGTACTCTTGGGTCTAGAAGTTCTAAAGTCGGAAGTTATTTTCGCTTGGGTTTAGGGTGAGTCTAGGGTATGTGGTTTCAGGCTCCGAGTCCATGTTTCAGGGCTTTTGGTTTAGTTGTGCAGCTTGTGCATCCTTTGCCATACTCCCTAGAGCAGAAGCGCCGACCGACGCTGTACAGCCCAACCCTTAACCCTACACCCTAAATCCTAAACCCCAGTACTTAAACCCTTTAAAGGAGCCCCTTGAAGGAACCCTCTAAACAAACCCTTAAGGTAATGCCTTAAAGGTTTCTTTAAGGGCTCTTTTAGGGGCTCCTTGAAGGGTTCCTTTAAGGGCTCCTTTAAGTGCTCCTTAAAGTCCTTTACGGATTCCTTTAAGGGTTCCTTTACGGGTTCTTTTAAACGGTCCGTCCTGAGGCCCCAGACGGTCTGCATCTGCGCAACCTCAATTACCTGGAGGCAGGTCCGGGGGTGGTTCCTATGCGCTTCTTGAATTTTGTTTCTGTTAGGGCTTAGGGGTTAGGGGTTTAGGGTTGAGGGGTTTTGTAAGGACCGCAACCCTAATTTTGGGTTTAGGGTTTAGGGGTTTTGTAAGGTTCTGCAACCCTAATTTCGGGTTGCAGTTCAGTAAACGCCAAGCTCTACTGTCAAGCGCTCCGGAGGAGTTTGTTTTCAGATTCTTCCAAAGGTTCTTTGCAGTTCGATACAGTGTTACACGGCATTTTTGCAGCTTTTCTATACTTACTGGTAGAGTAGGCACCCTTTAACCTTTTGGGAGACTACTACAACCTCTATATGTCCTTAAAGGTTAACGCGTGGTTCTTTTGGGTTGCAGGACAAGTGAGGGTCTTATCAAGGCTTCACTACCCTTGTAATGGAGGGGGCAGGAAGTTTATCCAAGTTTGTTTCGTTCTTGTTGCTTGCATGATACCAGTTCAGTAACTATTCAAAGCAGGTCCATACACTTTTTTCGAGTAGCGAAGGCCCCTATCGTATATACGTTAGATATGGTTTGTCGTAACTGGGGAGACCTTATTTCGGGGTCCTTTGCGGATCCTACTATTTGGAGTCTATACAGGGCCCCTTGATGTTCTGAACGCAACGTACAGAGGCATGTTTGGGTAGTATTAGTATTATTCGGGGTTCCTGTGTTTCCCATAGCATAGGACCCCCAACCCTCGTCTACGATGCGGGCCCCTACATGACAAGTCTACAGCAAGCAAATCCCTTTACAACTTGCCTACAAAGCCTTTTGTCCGGCAAGACCTTCCGGAACAGTAAAGCCTATGACAAACCTCGAAGCCCCTAAACCTCAAAGTTTTAACAGAGCACCTTCCCAAACACCATATAAACCTAGATTTCAAAACACCTAATTAGGCCGCTTGAAGCTGCGTACACTCCTAGATGACATACGATCCTTTACAACCCTTGCAAGCCCACGAAACCGTTTCTGGAGGCCCCATACCCTAAACCCTAAACCCTAAACCCTAAACCCTAAACCGCATAGCAACCCCGTAGGCCAAAAGCTAGCCATCCTAAGCCCCGGAAACACCTTAAATCCCTATGGGCCTATGGGTGGTTGTCAAAATTAGGGTCCCTTTTTGGGTCCCGATTTTCATACGTTGTCACTTTTTGGGTCCCTTTTTGGGTCCCGATTTTCATTCGGCACCTATAACTTCGGGCACCCAAAAAGGGACCCCAATTTTGACAACCACCCTTATGCAGTCTTTCAGGTCCCATAAAGCTGCGTAGAATCCCATCTGACACCTGAAGTCCCTAATGTAAGGGCCTTAACAACATCTTACTATAGTTATTACAAGGAACCCCCAAAACCCTTTTCTAATTATTAAGGTAGTAACCCCTGTAGTAACCCTTGTAGGACCCTTTACAAGGAACCCTATTCTAATTTTCAAGGCCCCTAACCCTAAACCCATAAACCCCTAAATTTCCGAAACCCCTAAACCCCTAAACCCCAAAAATCCTGAAGCCTTTCGTGACAACCTCCCAAAAAAGACCTACTGGAGGAGACGCTCCTTGAGAGCATGTTTGCAGATATGCTGCAGCTCCATCATCAGATGATGCCGGGCTTCATGAGGGTTCCCTTTAAAGGCTTCCTATTGAAAGGGGTCTATAAGGGATCTTCATGAGGGTTCCCTTTAAAGGCTTCCTTTTAAAAGGGGTCTATAAGGGATCTTCATGAGGCTCCTTTAGTGTTACAGCAGGCTTATTATGGGTATTAACGCCCCCTACCCCCCTCCCTCTCAAGGGTCCCTATGATTAAAGGAATCTTCAGCGGCTCAGGGCCTCAGATGATGCTGGGCTTCGGAGGGTTTAGGGATTTAGGCTTCCTTCAACGGGATCTATAATGGGGTTCTAGGATGTAAGGTTCCCTTTAAAGGCTTCCTTTAAAAGGGTCTATAAGGGATCTATAGTAGGGTTCTAGGATGTAAGTTTTTCGGGTCGCCTTTGCCTCATTCCAGTTATGAAGGCCTTGATAATGAAGGGTCTGGGGTTTCGGTGATCTTCAGTAACTAGAGAACCTCTTCTCTTCTCGGGCTTCTAGAGGTCTGGTATACCTGGCCTGCGACAGTGACGCCTTAAAGCGTGGGATATGCTTCTGTTTTCGATTAAAGGCTACCCCAGAGCGTCCACACTACCGTTATGTCAACCCCCACAACAAAGATGGCTGGTAGTGATGCCTCGCATCAGGTACTGAGGGTGCGGAGACTTAAGTTGTGGGGTGTTAGGGCACATGAATGGGACTTGATACGGTCTTTTAGAGTTCTATGTGATGACTGGCTTCGCTACGTCCTTTGTATAGAGTTTTCGGTCTTCAAAGTGTAAGCAGTGTAAGCCCCTAAACACAAAACCCGGTCCCCTCCGAGAACCCTCGAAACCCTAAACTCCTTAAGACCTAAACCCTAAGCCCCGCTAGAAGCCTTTCAAGAAATCTTACCCTGCTAAGGGAGCATTTGGGTAAGGGTAGCTGCCAATAACATGGCCCATGTAGGCAACCCTATATAAGCTCTACTCTTAATACGGCACACTTTAGGTTAGGAACCCAAAAGAGATCGTAGTTCTGACAACAACCCGGAAGGGAAGCCTAAACCCTTAAAGGAACCCTTAAAGGAAACCCTTCATAGGCACCTAGGACCCTTCGGGTTAGGCTTTAAAGGAGCCCTTAAACGAGCCCCCTAAAGATACTAGTTTGGACAGCCAACCTTAATAAACCCTAAACCCTAGAACCTAAACCCTGAAACCCGAAAACCCTAAGACTATAAACTTTAAAACCCTCAACCCAAAAAGGCACTAAAACTTAAACCCTAAACAACCCTAGACCCTAAAACCCGCTTGAAGCCAAGGAAGAGAAAGCTGAGCTTCGACCACTGGTCAGGCTAGGGGCTTTTGGATCGTCTTCTGGGGGCTCATTGACTAGGATGCCCAGTAGTACCACTGTTCCCTTTTCGTAGTCTTAGGTTCCTTATAAAGCTACCCAATACCAAAAAGGGAGCCCTTTTTATTCCTAGGTTACTGGGCAGCCTAGAAAGCGTTTAGGGTTTGGGTGTTTAGGGTTTGGGGGGTAGAGTTTAGGGGCAAGGTGTAGGTTTATGGGGTTCTGAAAGGCTGAAGGCTGTGCCTAAACTCTGAAAGCCCCAAACCCTAAAACTTCGCAGATTGTGTACACAAGCCTACAGAACCTATGTTGCGAAACTTTATGAATCCACAGTGGACGCAATGGTGAGCAGAGCCGCAAGAAGCTACCGGAGACCCGAGCGCCTTGCGATGTGAACCCTAATGGTCCGCCTATGCAAACAACAACGGCTCCGGAACCAACGCCCAACACGCAACCAACCCTAAACCCCACACCATCCAAACCCAGCCCGAAACCCTAAACCCGGACCCCCAAACCCCTAACCCCAAGTGCTAAACCCTAAACTGTAAGACCCAACGCCACTCCCCACGCCCCAAGCCCTAAACCCTAACTATTGGAGGTTCATGGTTGATTATAAGTAGGGCGATAAGTAGGGTTATAAGACCCCTAATTGGGGTTATAAGTAATTATTAGGTATAGTTACCCTAATTATAGCCCTAGTTACTGAGTCAAAGTTTTCATGACCCTTTTAGTATCCCCAAAAGCCCATATAGAACCCTTAATAGTAACCTTTATAAATCCCTTAATAGGAGCCCTTTAAAGCAACCCTAGTACCTGCTCCCCGTAAGGCGGCCTGCAGCTGATGTGCCTCGAGGCCGGGCCCCTCCAAGGATTCTGTCTTCTTAAAGGGCGTAAAGCTGGGTTTAAGGGTGGAACCCCAAGCCCTGAGCCCTAAGCCCTTACCCCTAAACCCTAAACCCTGACACCCAGCCTGAGCTGTGCACGAAATGGTGCCGCGCGGACGCACGATGGTGCGTGAGCAGCACATCAACTTTCTGCGCCGCAGGGCTGCGGGTGACGATGCAGAGTTGGATCGGCTCATCCTGGCCTCGCTTGAGGAAGATCAAAGGCAGTGCAAAGCGCCTCCACAAACGGCGCTTCTTGCACCTCAGACCAGCTGCCTGCCCTTTCGGGATTTGATGCTTTCTTCGCGTCAAACGTCAAGGGGTTTCAGCGAATCTATGATGAGCCGGAGGCGGACCAGGAGCCGATTCCCGGTGAGTGGCTGATCCCCACGAAGCAGCTTCCCGCCCTGCTGCTGCAAAATGGCGTGAAGATGACGAACGCGCCCTCCAAAGGCAAGCCACCCAAGAAGGCGTTTCTCAACAGGACCGAACTAGTGGCCGTCATGCATGGGGAGCCCTGGCCGGAGGCTCCTACATCCCAGCTGCTTGGTGCCTCAGCGCCATGACCTGCGAAGGCAGCCGCCAGTGGAACACCAGCGTCGGCATCTTCGGTGCTCCGCCCGTCTTGTAGGCAGTCCCCGACGGTGACATCTCCGACCTACTCGCGGACGAAAGGGAAGCGGCGCTTGAGAGAGACCAACGAAAGGCGGAGGAGCAATGGATGGATGAGATCAACGAGAAGGAAACCCGCGAGGCCATACTCCAGGAAGAAAGGGCCATGGAATGGCACAATACCATGCGTGCTAGAGAATGGGACGACTGGGCCATGTGGAGTGAGATGTACCAAGGACCAGGGCGAGAAGGCCGAAAGAGACAAGTGGTCACCATGGAGTTGTCGTCAGGCAGTTCGGATGTCCCGAGGGTTTCGAAGATGGTCAAGTTCCCACTTGTGGAGGGGGAGGTGAAGCTCAACATGCACCTCAAGGTCACGAGGGAGCCCTACGAGGAGGACAGGCCCACGCCAAATGAGCATGCGATGCAAGGGGTCGAGAAGCAATGTGATGCTGCGGAAGGTCCGGAGCCAGGGCCCTTGCCACCTATTGGGGATGAGACTGCACAGGCAAGTGAGGCCACTACGTTGCCGATGGAGGGTCTTGGCGGGCCAGCTCACTTTCGCTCTGAGATTCCGGAGGACCTGACAATGGACGACTACGGTAAGCTCTATGCCGAATGGATGCAGGAGGATATCACGTCCACCCAGGTGATCGACCGCTATGGGAAAGCCCTTTTCGATCTCTTTGAGGCACAATATTTGGTATATATGGGGCATGCGGAGACTCAAGGACCGGACCTACTTCACATACAAAGGCTCATGGGTGCAGAGGGACCTGAAGATGTTCGAATGGAGGTTACCAGGGATGCACAGGGAGCCGGTCTGGAGTTCGCGAAGGGTTCAGATGAGGTGAACGACTGAGGGGTTTTGTTTTCGAGGCTGCCAACGGGTGGCCAGTCCTCCTGGTCCACAGGGCCTTGGTGTAGCAAACCGGATTGCAGGCATCAAAAAGGAGCTCAAAAAAAAAACCCTAAACCCTCAAACCCTAAGCCCTAACCCCTAAACCCCCGTAGGTTTTCATAAGGATTTTGCCGGGATTGGGAAGCGTTTCGGGTTGATAGTATATGAAGGCTCAAGGGTTTAGGGTTTCTTGTCAGACCATCGGTTCTTCTACAAGGGTTCCCCAAAGGATACTATACTTACCTTTGGTTAGTAGGGAATGGAGGAATGGGGTACAATTATATCTACTATTACTACCATTCTCCCATTCCCTACTAACCAAAGGTAAGTACAGGGGTCGCAGTGGTTGCCTTAACAAATAGAATAGGGACGGTCAACTCCTCCAAAGAGAAGAACATGCATGAAGGATGATTGGTGCTGGGGTTTCCTTCTACTGTAAAGGTATTTGGATGACGATGTTCCAAGTTTCTGGCTTCTTCTCTAAGTTTTGCTTGTGTCTTGTTTAGACTGTGGTCCCGGAGCATGACCGACGCTGGTCTTGTTGTGATTTACTTCCAATGCCGCAAGAAGCTAAATGTTTTGATGGTTGTGACATCGTACTTGGGTGTTGCCGCATTTTCTTGCAGTTTGCCGCATGGCTTGGCAAAAACAGACGGAGCAGCTTGTTCCTTCTTCGCCGTTTGATTTCTGTGACCAAAGTAGACTGTGGGCAAGCAAGTGGCAGCGGCTGGGTTGGGAATCAAGGCAAGCGAGGTGTCGAAGAATACCACCGCCGGGGCTGTGGCCTCACTGGTGGTGGACTCCTACCTAGCTCAGGAGGTCTTCCAGAGTTTGTCGTTTACTCGCGTGTCCCAGCGCGGCATCCTACTACCCAGCAGCTCTGGGATCCCGACCGCCGCTCGAAGACATGTGTGAAGAATGGAACGGTGGATTGCTTATCCGGAGTTCGAGCAGATGCAGATCGCCAAGGCAGAGATGGGAAGTCTGCACCAGAGTGGGGCAGCCCTCGCAATTCTGGCAAGAGACGCATCCTCCCGGATCAGAGACACAGAGCCGTCGTCCTCAAGAATTCCTTTCCTTCAGATTCTTTAGAGGCCCATTGCAATTCTGAGGGCTTTCATAATATTCGGATTTCGACGAGAATCCGTACTAATCAAAGGCCTACATGACTCTAAGCTCTTAATCTTAAGACCAATGCAACCCCAGGACGACAAAAGCGCTAAGCCCTAATCCTTGAACAATACAACCTTATAAAACCCTATGAAACCACAAACCCTACGCCCTACGCCTTGTTACAAATTATATAAACCCCCATGAAACGATAAGCCGTAAACCCTAAACCCTAAACCAGAATACCACCTTGTAAAGCCCTATGAAACCACAAGGCCTAAGCCCTACTGAGCCCCTGCCCCCTCAGGCAACCCTATTATGGGTCCCTTACGGGAACCCTAATATCGAAACCCTATGAACCCTAAACCCTAAACCCTAAACCGTATGAGCTCTAAACCCTAACCCTTCTAGGCACCCTCAGCCCTGAGCCCCTGAACCCTAAACCCTCAACTCGAAACCCTTCTAGCTCTCCTTGACGGAACCCTAAGCCCTAAACCCCTGAACCCTGAACTCTAAGCCTCTCTAGCTCTCATTAACGGAACCCTAAGCTCTGAACCCTTATAGTTACAGCTTATAGCTCCGCCCTAAGCCCTGAGCCGCGAGGCCCAGCGGAGTGCCAAGGAGGCCGCGGTTCAAAGCTTGGTCGCGCGGCGCGAGCTCGTGGGTTTTGGGGGTTTAGGGCTTTAGAATGCAGGGTCAGGGGTTTGGGGTTTAGGGTTTACTGTTTTAGGGTTTCTAGGGGTTTAAGGGGTTTAGGGTTTTAGGGTTTCGGGAGGTTTTGTAGCGTTTTGTCGGGCTTGCTTAGGGACTCCTTAAAGGATGAGGGGGGTTTTGGGTTGCACGGTTTGGAGGGTTTAGGGGTTTGGCTATTGTGGGGTCTCATCATCCCCAGAACCTTACAAGCCCAGTTCAAACCCACAACAGGGTGTGGGTTTGGGATTTAGGATTTTTGGGTGGGAGGGTGGCTTGCACCTACAGCATCTGACTGTAGTGAGTAGGAAATGAATGCTCTAACCCCAATCCGTAAACCTGAAATCTAAATGCCGAGGCCCGAACTAACAGTTTGAACCAACAGATAGCATCCAGATTCTGGAACCCGGAGTTCCAGAAAATATTGGACACTCATGGAGGTCCCGAACAGTGGGATCCTTACCCGACTTAGCTAAACACTAAACCGAACCCTGATGTTTCGGACAAGGTTGTCGTGGGGTTCACAGGGTCAGCCCTCGAGGCATTCCAATTGGATTCCAATTTTGCAGACGCAGAAGAGACCTTACATCGACCGCCAAGTGCACGATGGATCACGCAGGGCACCATCGGAGGGCGAGAGCAAGCGGTGCCATTCCTACCGCAGCTGCAGGCCGGTGCACCCTTAACAGCTGGCTGCCATACTTGTCGTGTTGAGTCCATGTTGTCTTTCGGCGCGCCTGGTTTCAGCGAGACTCAGAAGTTTTTGGAGGAGCCGCAGGTCAAGATGAAAGGGCCTGGGAGGAAGCGATTGATTGTTGCCAAATTTAATCCCGTGGCCCTGGACATCTTCTGCACTTCTGTGGATGCCATGTGCAAGGCCATCAGCTCGCAACTTGCCGAACTTGCCCCTCGCCCATCCATGCCCTCATGCCTGCAGGTCTGGAATCTGCGGCAACAGACTGTTGCCTACACGACATCGGTATCAGCGCGGGTGTTGGATTTGAAATGGACACTTCTGGGCATGACGTGCCAGGACGGCCTGCAATTTGCTATTGTCAGTTCCAGGTCTGCCATCAGCAGGCAACGAAACAAGTTGAAGCAGAAGGACAGACGACTTCGAGTGGTGGATCCCCGGCAGTGCGAGCGACTTGTCCTTCACGTAGCGGAGTGCGAAGACGTGTTGTTGCCGTGGTTGATTGACTTGCTCTTTGCTCTTCTCCTGCTCGGGCGCAGCTGGCCGCCTTCGGGCGCGGAGGAGTATTTTGGTGATGCGGGGGAGGGCAGGGGTCACTGGCATAAGCGACGGGCTCTTTCAGACTCACAGCAGTGCATGGCAGCCAGCATCACTGACCAACAGTGCCAACAGCGTGGCATCAGCTACATCACCGATTGTTTCTGAAGGACTACGGAAGATTCCAGAGCTATGTAGACTGGATGTGGCAACTGCGGGTGAAACCATCGCCTATTGCACTCGGCTTCTTTGCCGGTTGTGCTGCAGGACCACCAAAGGTTATGAAAGATTCGAGAATATTGTCGGCTGAATGCGGCACCTGAGGGTGAAGCATCAGAGCACGGGGCAATGACGTGTTCGTCACTTTTCGAGTATTGTTTGACAGTACCAAGCAATTGGCATTCTCTGGTTCCAAGGATCGCAATGTCATGCTCGATCTGCGAAAGCCCCACGCCGACAAAGGTCGGACAGATTCATTTGATGGTCGGACCGCCAGTGGTCGCACCCAGGTGGCAGGCAACTACATTGGCAAGCTCCGCACGACAAGCCCACCGCAGCGCTTGCGTTCTCGCGAAAGCAATGCCTTGACATCGCCTGCAAAGACTAAGTGAGATGCAGTGCTCCTTGATGGATGTGTTTGTGGTGGATGCTGAAGTGGGTCCGACGGCGGAATCGGATCTGCACTTGAGGCGACCGTGCACGAACTTGTTCGGGCCTTGCAGCTCTGCGTGCAGCGCCGCGGACGCGACATCAAGTGATCCCTTTGCGGCCCATGTAGTCAAGCCCCGTGCTAGGATAAACTTCTTGCCTAGAAATTTCATATCAGAGCCTAGGCCACTTTCTTTCCGGGCGCCGGGCCACCGTCACCAGAACTTCGCTGACACTCTGCTTGCCGCCGATCAGTGGCTGTGGCCACGGCCATGGCTGTCGGCGACGTCAAGGGCAAAATGGCACGCCAGAAGCAGACTGGCATCTGGGACCGAGGATGAGCCAGACCGCAGATCTATGTCTTCCTGAGGGAAGCCATTGCGCGATTCGTGCGCCTATGTGGCTGCCCTCATTGCGCAGTGACAGAGCTCGGGGACCCTAAATCCCGCGATGGCTTCAAATACTTTCGTTCCATTCCTTCAAGGGCTTTGGGTTTCTTATTCAGAGGAGTGCTGACGGCTGATAGTTGACACTAAGCCGTTATATAGGAACCTTCAAGCATATGTGTTAGTTGAGCCTTAACCTTAAACGCAAAGCAACACTCGGAGCCCTAAACCCGACAAAAGATCTGCGGTTCTTCGGATTTGATCCCTAACGCCTTGAACCAAAACCTTGAATGTTAAACCTCGAAAACTCGGTTCCCTTGGCTAAGTTCTGCAACCCAGGATGCAGTGGGCAACACATTGCGCCAGTACAGGAACATGAGCTTCTGGGCCGCAGAGAGCTATTTGGGCTTAGGGTTCAAGGTTCAGCGTTTAGGTTTAGGGTAGCTTGTTAGCGTGTTTCTTAGGGCCTGGGGTTTACTTGAAACATTGACCAATGGCCCATCTGGTCCAGAGTCTGAGGGCCCAAACCATAAGTGGAAAAACGAAATTCTTAGGCAAACGGGGTCCTTAAGCGTCTCCCAACATTTGCATTTGAAGTTTCCCATAGATATATATACATTGACATGTACATAAACAGTCCCGGAGAATCGTTGTTGTAATGTTTACGTTTCAACATTCGGCGCTGCAGTGCTCGCATATGCCGATTTCAACCATGTCCACTGCAAATGCACCCCGTCGCATGACTCCGCACTGCACAATACGTTGCTGGGAAGGAGGAGAGCCTCGCGGGGCTTCTACACGGGTGGGCCCAGTACGAGTTGCGAAGACATCGCGCTCAATTGTGGAGCTGGTGCCTGCAGCCTACAGCGGAGGCAGAAAACACTTTCACTTCATGAAAAACGAAGCTCGGCTTGCCATGATTCGGATCCTGGAACATACGGCACGAGTTACGCAGAACTTTTGAGCTTCATACAAATTTCCCGAGCAGCACAGCAGATGCGACACCCTGAATCCCCGCAGACCCGAAACTACTATAACGTAGCCTAGACTCGACACCCTCAACACCGACCCCCACCCTGAAGCACAAACCCCTGATCCATCACGTGTAAGCCCGTAGTTGCAAATCCCATCAAATTGTATAGAGCTTTTGGGTTTAGGGTGCCGCATATAGGGTTTAGCAGCTTAGCACCAATATAACTTGGAAATAAGACGTACTTGTCACAACCTTCTGGACGCGGCAGCCCGGAACAACTTCCAGTCCTGATATCAAGTCTATAGAGCCCATCAAAGCATATAGAGTCCACAAAAACTGCATAAGGCCCTTCCAGAGCCTAGATAGAACGTGTAAAAAGCTTTTGGGACTACTTGATAAAGCTTAAAGGGATTTGAACCGCATGGTGTGAGAGCATTGCAGGAGCCCCAGAAGAAACCCAAATATACATGTCTGAAAAACTACATCCCGTGGTGTTCCTTACTTACATGACAGCACCATAGTTATCCCGAGACGCTTTTCTTGTACATAGTACGACATTAAGCCCTTGCTTTTAAAAAGAACTTGCCTAGATCTTCATAGGGACCGTGATCTTCATCCGGCCATATAACATGAGCTCTTTGACATTCTGGTGTGAAGCCGTATGAGACGATTGAAAAGTACAGTAGCAGGGCAGTGCAGGAACCCCAGAAGCAACCCTAGAGGTTTGCAAATGCGTTGCATCCTTTCGTATTCAATGCCCTTTATGACGACACCATCGGTCACCATCGTTGTCATCAAGCCGAATTTAGTCAATAAGGCCTTAAGCCCTTCTGGCCGTATTGCAGAGCCCTACCTTCCGCCCCCCGACACACTCTCGAACTGAACCCTAAAACCCTCAATCCCTAAACCCCCTAAGCCCTAAACCCCTAAACCCCTCAACCCCTAAACCCCCTAAACCCCCTAAACCCCAAACCCCTAAACCCCCTAAACCCTAAACCACCTTAAGCTTTGGAGGCTGCAAACTTGATTCCCGTAACCCTGAACCCCAAGACCCCGAAGCCGAAACCTTTAAACCCTAAGCCCGGACCCCCCAAAACCACCCAAACCAGGGTTTAGGGTTTAGGGTTTAGGGTTTAGGGTTAGGGTTTAGGGTTTAGGGTTTAGGGTTTAGGGTTTAGGGTTTAGGGTTACCGCAAACCCTAAGCCTAGAGTCTCCTCCTGAATGGATTTTTCTCTCTGTTCATATGAAGCCCAAGAGAAAATTCAACATGTTGTATTCATTACGGTTTTAAGGGGGGGTATAGAAACCCCTAAGCTCATTCATGGGACCTTTACGGGAGCCTTTTAGCGGGACCTAAACGGCCTGAACCGTAAACCCTAGACCCCAAATCGCAACCCCAACCTAAACCTTAAACCCCAACAAAATCCCCAAACCCTAAACCCTATACCCTATACCCTAAACCCTAAACCCTAATCCCCACACCCTTCGTGCCACAACCCCACGAGGCAAGAAGCTCTTCAAGGATGGCCGGGTGGGTCAGCTGGTCGAGAAGCTTCTTACTTCCATCTTTTTGAGGGAGTTGGACACTTCTGTTCTTTGTTGCTTCAGTGTGATTCCATTTTAGGATTCTGTTTGTGTGTTTTTTGCAGTGTTTCTGAAGATTCTACTTTTCGACTTTTCGGTATAGTGTTGTTTGAATGGGGTCTGGTTTTCGAGAAGAGTCGTTGGGATTGGGCAGCGGTGTATCATAAGGGCTCCATTGCTTGAGGCATTCAGTGTCAGACTCTGAAACGTTTGTCCGCTGTCTAGAGCTTTGGATCTTAATCTAAGGATTGGAGTTCAGAGTCTATCAGGAGATAAGATGAACGTGATCTTGAACCCTAAACCCTAGATGTAGAGTTTAGCCGTGCTTGCTCTTAGGGTCCTGGGCCCCATCCGGAAGCTATTGGACACGAAGCCCGAATCACATTAAGGGAATGATGTAGAGTTTAGGGTTTGATTCCAAAAAAATACACCGGCAAGCTTGAACTCTAAACCTCGCCCGTAGGCCCCAAGACCCCGAAGCTTTTTGCCCCAAACCTTCAAAGCCCCGAACACCCCAAACTTTCCTTTTTGTCACTGTTCGTCTCCTGAACTTTGTGCACGATTCTTCGGGTGATGTCTCTTGCTGCTTGTTTCTTCGGCTAAATGAACCGATCATGTAGGCCTCACTCTCTGTGGCTCCGGAGAACGCATGCCCAAGGTCTAGGTGGACGCGAGAGAAAATAGCATTAGAGCGCGTCGTTACCAGCCGTTGTCGTCAGGCCATGAGAGGTCTTCGAGGGCCTTTGAACGACTTCATCGTTAAGGCCCCTCTACGAAACCCCTCGAGACCTTAGGGCTCAGGGCTGAACCTTGAACCCAACGCACGATCGTACTCACCAAAACCCCCAAACTCCAATCTGCCGACTATGGACCCCAAATCGAAACCCTCGGCCCGGAACTAAACCCTAGAACCCTAAATCCTAAACCCTAGGAGCCCGAAACCCCTAGAGCCCTAAGCCCGAAAACTTCTTTGAAGGAGCCCTCAAACGATCCGAGGTTCCTTGACCGCTGCGAGGAGTTCTACGGAGTCATGTCAACGTGCCTTGTCTTCGGATGTCCTGTCTCGTTTTGGTTTAGGGTTCAGGGTATATAGGGTTTATAGGGTTTATAGGGTTTTGGGTTTAGGGTTTAGGGTTTATAGGGTTTTGGGTTTAGGATTTAGGGTGTAGGGTTTAGGATTTGGGGTCCAGGGTTTAGTAAGGGGTCTGGGGTCGAGGGTTTAGGGTCGGAATGACTACTGATACTGGCCCTTGACGGTCCCTTTGTAGCTATATGATCGCACAGCCCAACACCCCTTCAAACTATTAAAGGCCCCTATATCTGAATCCCGAAGCCTTTGAAGAACGGGTCGAATCAGGACCGGATTCTTGCTGAAAAAGATCTATACGGGCTTCTTAAGGGTTCCACAAACGGGTTATGGAGGCTGTAAAGCATATATTGAGGATTGAGGTCTGGGGACTTCGTAGATAGGTTGTAAGCAAGGCTGGATGTGCAGTAGCGCCCCACTGACCAAGCCCCATGTTCTTTCGCAAAAGTCCTCTGAACCCAACAATTGCCATTCAACCTCGCGTACTAAGCCTGTATGAGAAGCCTCCTATATCCAGACTATGAAAAAAACCCTGGCCTAGAGAAGTCCTTACGAAAGCCTATAAAATCAACTGAGGGACCGGTGCTTGTAAGTGGGCTATACGTACTTAGAATCTGCGGACTTAGTAAGTAGGCTTATAAGCAAGGTAACCATCCAAAACTCCAGTATATACTAGGTTTCCTGAACGCATACGAAGATCCGGGTAGGGTTGGTTCGAGAAGATTCAAGGACAAATGGCCATTCAAGTGTGCTGCACGGATGCCTTGTCTCACGGCGAGCAGATCTCTTTGCATGAAGCTGCGGATCTCCTCCAGGGCGGCTATGGTGGGGACGATACGAGCCGGTATGAACGCCATCTGTGACTGCTTGCAGACTCTCCGCGAGGAGAGCCCGGAGCTGTTTGAGCACATCGTGATTCTGCTCTGCGCATTGTATGCTTCATGCGCTCCCAGTGCAGTGTTCTGCTCTGCACATTCCACGGCTCATATCGTCTCGTCAATTTCCATCGCTTTGTGAGGCACTCAAACTCTGCCGGGGGAATGGAGCCGAAGGAAAGTGACAAAACGTGAGCCGATTGCCCGATAGCGACTCGTCCGGCATCACAATGTTCGGGTTTGTACAAGTTCTCTACATTAGGGCACCCCTTCTCGGCCCCCAAAATAATACGGCACCCTGAAAACAAGGACCCACAAAGAAGATACTAATAAGGGGTTTAGGGGCTTAGGGTTCAGTGTCCAGGGTTTCGGGTATAGGGGTTTAGGGATTTAGGGGTTTAGGGGCTTGGGGTTTTGGGGGGTTTAGGCGGGCTGTAGAGCCTTTGGAGTCTTCCTGTTCCGGGCATTTGGGGTTGGTGTTGGGTTTTGCTTTGGACCAGGTTTCTTTTCGCTACCTTTAACCCCAAGTTACCGTAACTTACCTTTTTAAAGGACCTATATGAAGAAATCATATCAGGGAACCCTAAAAGGGGCAGGTTCCTTAGGGCCCAGGTTTCCTTCTTAGGGTTCCTTAGTATGGATTATAAATACAGCTCCTTAAAGAGGTAGGTCTTTTCGGGCCCTAAACCCTAAACCCTAAACCCTAAAGAGGTAGTACTGAAGCCCGAGATTTTTGGACCCCGTAGCCCTTTCTTAGCCGGTCTCCTCCTACGAAGTCCCGGCCTGGGCCCTGCAGCCTGGGGCTCTTAAAACAAAGGGGCCTAAACAATTAGACTACCCATTATACTAGGTTTATAGGAAGGAACGCCCCCCCCCCCCCAAAAAAAAAAGGTATGGGGACTTTTTAAAGCCCCTATTTTGATTCAAGGACCGGCAGCCACGCCCAGTTTATCAGGCAGAAGATGAAGGAAGTAGAGGAGCCCCTACTCAGGGTTCCAGTTGATTCTGCAAGAGTTCTCTAAGGCTCTCAACAGGTTTCTTATCAGGGTTCTACAACTGTTTATGTAGGGTTCTGCAGTTGACCCTGCCTCCTAGTATCGTGGCACTCAGAGGATACGGCGGGATACTGAATTCATTCGGGGCCTTGCGAATTTTTGGATGGAAGTTCTGGGTTCTCTGGCTGTTGTAGGGTTTGGGGTCATTCAGGATTGACGGCTTGAAGGTCTTAGTCAGAGTGTTTTTGATTGATATAGGTGCATACTGTTCATGTTTCGAGGCGCAACTGGTCAATGAAGAGCCATTGGGTTCTCTGGGCTAGGGCTCCGGTGTTCGCGCCGGCAGTGCGACACCAGGGACCACATTCTGCTTCGGATGTTGGGTTCAGGGTTTAGGGACTCTCGGCGCGGCTTCGAAACATTTATCGGCAGAAAAGCACTACAACTACGCAGGACGACGACGACGACTACTGCTACTGCTGCTGCTACTTCTCCAGCTTCCACTACTGCTGCTACTACTGCTACGACTACGAATGCCGTTACTGCCACTACCACCATAGTGGTAATCCTGCTGACTTTCGTATTCAGACAGCCCAAATCCTCTCTGCGTAGAAAATTAGTGATATTGCTCAGCTGCGGGATATCGGCCTCCATCAATCAACAAACGCGAGTCCCTGTAAACTGCCCAGAAGAACTCAAAAGCCACCATCTGTCAAGAATCTCGGGGTCAATCCCTACAGTAGAAGCCAGAAAGTTGGAACATCAATATCCCCATGCCCCTAAGGTAAAGTATAAGGGATTCTAGCACTAATCCTCCTAAATCCATGATCCAACTTTCTGGCTTCTACTAAAAACCTTAAATCGCGGCAGGAGCTGCGCCACTTCTCCCCCGACTCGCTGAATCTGATTCTCAACCGAGAGCTTCTGGGATGATGGTTTAGGGTTGAGGATCAAGTTTAGTGGTTGATGTAGGGCTTAGGTCATATAGCTACGACTCTGGCTGTACCTTAACCCCAAGTAACCTACCGTTTTAAGGACTTATATCAAGAAATCATACTAGGGAACCCTGACAAGGCAGGTTCCTTAGGGTCCAGGGAGGGTTTAGGGCTTTGAGGGTTCAGGGTTTAGTGCGGTGTGGGCCGGGCCGGGTTTCGGAGGTCGGGAGCATCATGGGGCTTCGAAACCTGGTGTTCGTTTACCTGGACCCTAAGGAGACTGCCGTTTTAGGGTTCCGTAATATGATTTCTATATATATATATATATATATATGTCTAAGTCCTTAAAAAGGTGGGTTACTTGGGGTTAAGGTAAGCTTTAGGGTTCAAAAGTGTATGGTTGGAGGATACAAGGCAGTTCAATAATGGTAAAAGTGCATGATTCCGGCGATGACAGGGGGCTGTTGCAGTGTTTGTGCTCCCGATAGGCCAAATACTCGGTTTGCTCGGTGAAGGACTCGGACCACATGCCACAGGTTAGTATATACGTGGACATGGAGGCAAGCCACAGGCCTAAATACTAAACCTAAACCCCCAAAAAGGGCTAACATGGAGGCCTGAATAATTACCTATACAATTTTTGGGGGTTCCTGGGTGTATTTGTGAGACAATATACCCCAGAGTCGTATTCTAATTATTCCGGCCCCTACGTTAATCTCATCATGGAACCTTCCTCTGCCTCTTGCATACTGTCCTGGCCAAGAAGAAGGATTCGTGTAGGACGCATGTTAAGGCAAAGGGTTTAGGGCCTGGTTTCATGAATGTGACCCGTAAACCTTAAACATCCATCTGGAGCATCCTCCTGGTGAGCCTAAACCCTAAACCCTAGACCCTAAACCCTAGACGCAAGGAAAAGGGCATTGCATTAAAAAAAACCCTAGACCCTGAACCCTAAACCCTTAACCTCAAGCTCCAACGCCTACTGAAGCCTTAAAGCCCAAACCCAAAAATCCTTGGCCCTAGCCTTGAAGATCTGCCCGAAGCCCAAGAAAAGTCAAGCAAATGCGCCTCTAGCCCGAGATAGAGTACTGTAGGGGCCTAAACAAGTACCAATGCTATTTTTGGGGGTTACTTGTTATTGTAATAATAATATTTATTATCACAGTATACTGGGCCCCAAAACCCTATTCTAAGTCTCAGCTAGTTATTCAGGCCCCTATACTACTCATGACAATGCTGAAGGTCAGGGTTTCCTGATCAAATGAAGGAATCCAAACCGCCCAAGCCGTAAAAATTGAAACTTAAATCCCAAAGCTTTACATTCATTACACCTAAAATTCGAGACCCTAGTCCCGAAACAAGTCGAATCCCTAACCCAGCTTTCTACCAACGCCCGAAGCCCTGAACCCTAAATCCTTCCCCCAACCCCAAACTACACCCGAAACCCTAAATCCTAAGCTCGTGGCAGTGCATGTCCTGGTCAAGCAGGGCAGCTTGCGCAGTCGGTTGCCCGAAATCTTCCTCTGAGACCTAGCGGCCAGTATGATACCCATCCCGAAGTGGGGGGCCGATGGTGCCAAAGATCTCTTCAGAGGAGGGGACACCTGCGCAGCAAGAGCTTGTGGAAGGCTTCGACTGGACTCCGCCGTATATGGCGCCCCGGGACTGCTGGCAGGCACCGTTGCCGTTGGAACACGGGTACCGCGAGCACAGTCAGTACTGCCTTCTTTGCAACAAGTGTGCAACAGAAGCCGATGTGGTCAGCAACAACCACAACAGGGCGATGGCTTCGTGGATGCGGCAGGGCAAGCCTCAACTGCTGGTATATTCCTTAATTAAGGGATATTGAAGTCCCCATAAACCAAAAACCCTATAGATCCCTTAAGGGAACCCTTAAGGATCCCTTTAAAGGAACCCTAGGTACTCCTTAATTAAAGGGGTCTTGGGCTCTCTGGGAGGGTTCGAAAGCCCTTATCCGATATCGGAGGTTCTCGGTGGAGGAGCTGCAGGATGCTATGCTCAACCTCCGCAAGGCATGGGCCCTCTGGGATTTAAGGTTTAGGGTTTGGGGTTTCAGGGTTTCGGGTTCATGGTCTGGGGTTTATGATTTGAAACTCAAAGCGCGTGCTGGGATCCCTTTATTCTTTCCAGGGGCTGTTTGTTTGTCCTTGTAGTCATGCTGCTTGGGGCTTCGAGGTCTGTTGGCTAGGAAATCTTCTGACAAGAAGGGCAACGATGCCGAAAGGACTGATGATGTCAAGCTCGTGGATTTTTTCAGACGCAGACTGATGTGGCCGTGCCCGCTGATTTATAAGCGCCCTACAAGGTTTTTATAAGGATTCTGCAAGGGTGCTTTTGCCGAAGCTATGCACACTTTTCGCCCCAATTTCACTATTGAACAGCTGGATTCCTAAACCCAGAGGCCTTTCAAAGCCCTAGACCTCTTATCCAAACCTAAGCCCCTGAACCCAGAAGCCTTAAATCGCTAACTCCAATACCCGAAACTCTAAAGCCCTAAACCCCATAATAAAGCCCTAAACCCCATAGTAGCCCTTGCAGTAACCCTTGAGACATAGTAGCACTCATTTCATAGATTCCGGAAAAGGTTGCTAAAACCTCAGGCCCAAGGAGGGCAACTTCGACCAAAACACAGTTTAGGGTTTTAGTTTAAGTTGAGAGTTTAGGGTTGAGGGTTTGAGTTCAGGGCTGAGAGGTTAGAGTTGAGGTTTTGAGTCTTCAAATCATAGGGGTTCATACTTTCGGGGTATTGCAGGCGAGGGTTTGGGGCCTATGAAACCAGACCTAGGATGTTCAAATCCTCTCGTAGTAGCTGAAAGAGTACACTTTACACAAATTGGGACAATATCATCCGGGGCCTAAAAAAACTACCAATAGCATTTGGGGTTCCTTGTAACAGTATATTGGTCCCAACAGGCTTATACTAATCATTACGGCCCCTATAGTATAGAACTGAAGGCTTAAACTTTCATGAACTCGGCAATTCAGCCTCTCGATCAGGGCATCTGCGAGGAGAAGCGAATCTTTGGTTTGGGCACCGGCAAGGAGGCAACTCGTGGCACGTGAGGGCTTAGGGTTTGAGCATTCGCTCCCCAAGTGTGTTGGCATCCCCTGAAGTGCAGCCGCAGTCCCTGTATGACTGTACGAACTATACAGGAAACTTTAACACCCTATGTGATTCTTGAAGTACCACATTACAAGACAAGGTGCACTTCTTAGAGGATGTTCGGGAGTGTCAGGATGTTCGTGGCACGTAGCTGTTGACAGATTTTAAACTGCTCTAATGGTGTTGGTATCTGGTGTTGGGAGGTGCAGGACAGTGTAGGATTGGTGTGATTTGGGGGCTTTAGGGTTTTGAGTTGCTTGGTTTAGTTGCTTGGTTCAGCGTCCCGCTGTAAGGACGGGTCGGTCTACGGGTGTCAATTGTTGTGGCCATGATGTGGGTAGTTGTCAAAATTATGCTCCCTTTTTGGGTACCCTAAATAATAGGTGCCGTACTATAATAGGACCCAGAAAGGGACTGAAAATTTTGACAACCACCCATGTTGCAATTTTTCTTGTGGGCTTGGGATTTCATCAGGTTATAGATCGACGAAGTTTGCATCGGCGCGTTTTGGGTTGCGGCAACAATATGGCGACACCCTGCATCCTAAACGTTATAGCCGCGGTCCCTGCGTAAATCCTCAGCCCCTACAGGAGGTAAGCCCTAAGTAAGCCCAAAAGGCCTTCGGCGCGGCCTGGACCGCTCTTCAAGCTTAAATTCTCAAGCCCTTATGAAAGCCTCGTAGTTCCCCTCACGAGAAAGCTACGAAACGCCTTGCGCATCGCGTTTCCGAAACTCATGAGACCCAAGCAGCTACACTGCCCAAGTAGTGAATGGCGCAACCGCGACACCCGAGGAATAAAGGGGCCGCAATAATAACCAATGGGTTCCTTATTATCACCATAGTATAATTGGCCCCCAAAACCCTATTAGAACTATTAAGGCCCTGATATCATAGAACCCTATAATGGATCCCTTATAGATCCCTTTAGAGGGAACCCTATTCGAATTATTAAGGCCCCTATACTACCGCGAGCCACAGAAGCTCAATAGACCCTAACCCGACTAAGTCACCAGGCCCCGGTGTGAAAACTCACACGCGCATACGGTTTGGGCTTCGAGTTTGGGGGTTCAGGGTTTAGGGCCTAGGGTTTATAGGGGTTTAGGGTTGAGAGGCTTAGGGTTTATACGGGTTCAAGGTTTAGGGCTTAGGGTTTATGGGGTTCAGGGTTTAGGGCCTGCGACGCTTCAGGCTTTAGGGTTGAGGATGCTTCTCTGAAGGGTTCAGCATTGCTCCCCCCGGAAATTTGTCACTCAACAAGTATACGCACGACCCAGCCAGGTATCAGTATCCCAAACCGCTGAAGACCCCTAAGCCCTAAACCCAGGGTCAGAACCCTACCCTCAACCCGAAGCCCTAAGGCCAAAGCACCGAAACTCTAAAGCCCCAAACCCAACACCCCCTGAACATGCTCAAACCCTAAACCCCCAAACCCTCATCCCTAAACCCTTCACCCATGCCACAGGCCCTAAACCCTAAGTGCCGGATCTAAATTGGCTGTGACGCAGCTGTCATTTGCTGGGAAGCGGCTCGCACGATGCAGCTCAGGGTGTTTTATATCGAGGCCTTAACGATTAGTTTATGGGTTAGGTTGAGGGTTTGCAGTTTAGGTGTAGGACTATAGGGTTTGCAACGGCCTGATATGGTTTACGGAGTTTCTTCAATGACACCTTCTTATACGGGGTAAGGGGCTTGTAGGGTTTTAGTACCGGGACCTTGCCCACGCATGCATGCATGCATGCATGCATGCGCGCGCATACAGAAAACCCTGAAACCATAAGCCAAGCTCGAATTTCATAGACCCAACATCCTAAGCCTCAGTGCTGAGACCAAACACATACATGTTTTTCGCCATTTTTGCAGCCCAACAGGTCGCGGAAGAGGATGATCCAGCGACGCCCTGTGGGCCGCATCAAAAATGCTCGAGGTTTTGATGGTCTTGTACCGCTTAGGATTCAAGGTTGGCACTTAGGACTTTGTTTAAGAGCCGTTATATAAGGGGTGGGCGGTTCGTCTCTGTTTCTTGAGCTGGTGGAGGATTGTAGGGTTTCATATGGTTGGGTCTTGTGATTTGGTGATCGCAACACGGGAGCCCAAAGCCAAACCCGTTTCGCTAAACCTCAAACCTATGTGCTTGCTGCCGCGTATCCGGGTCAGCGTGCTTTTGCATCGGGCTCGACAGATATGCTACTCTACTACTAAAACCCACAGCCGGAAAACCCTAGAAGGTTCTAAACTTCTAAACCTGTGCACCACCAAAAGCACTGAAAACCCTGAACCCCTGCAGCCCTGAGGGCCGAAAGCCCTAAAAGCCCTAAGCCCCAAACGGCCTTAAAGATCTAAGCCCTAAACCCTAAACCCTAAACCCCATTAAAGATTTAAGCCCCAAGCTGTCAGCAGACGTGCTTCGCGCAACCTTGAAGTTTCCGGCCGTTTAGCATCGAGAGCTTGATGGGTGCTGAAAGAAACGCCAGAGTACAGGTAGTATTCAGTAGGACCCCGCATGGGCCCTTTCAAACTTGGAGGGTCATGGGACTTAGTAAGTACGGTTATGAGTACTAAGTCCCATGATCCTTTAAGTAGAGCCCTTACGGTCCGCAAATGGTGGGTATGTGGGGTATAGTAGAGGGTACTTGGGGGGTCTACTTAGGTGGCAGTTTGGGAAACGTTTCAGTTCTCCTCTATGGTAACTACAGGGGTACCTATTCATAAAGCGTTTTTCAGAGACCCAAAACTACAACCCAGTTATATAGACAGTATTCAGTAGGAGTATACGGGCTGACCAATTAGCAGTACCACTCCTCAACTTGATCAGACTACAACATACCGCAAAGCATTTTACTCCACGAACCCTAAACCCTAGGCTCTAAAGCATACATACATCGCACATACACCCTCAGCCCGAGAGCCCTACAGTCCCCGGAGCCTTTGTGATGGCCCTTCTGGAAACGGAGCCTTAGGGTTTAGGGTTTTGCGATTGATAAACACCCCTCAAAACCCTGAACCACAGAATCTTAACCCCTAAACCCTCAGGTCCTAAGGTATCAGAAGCCTCAGTACCCTGTAGATTCTAGGGCTTTAACGCCAAGCCCCTACACCCCAAAACCCTGTTCCATAAACCCCAAACCTAAAACTCTAGACGTACTCTTGCAGTAACCCCCCATAGGAAACCTGGTAGCAACCCCCCCAAATAGGCCCCCTAAACCCTACACCTAATTACACCAGTCTAAACGACACACCCTAAACGTAATTTTTGTTATTGAGGCCTCGCTATCCTCCCACCAGAGTGCCGAAACGACTCACAAGCATGCCTATAAAACCCTTATAGAACCGCATGGGACCCCAAAAAACCCTAAACCCCAAGGGCCCTATACCCTCAACCACCCTAAGCCACCAAAACCCCTAAGCCACCCCTACCATGTAAAAGCCTCATACATACAACCATAGCGGCACCCCCTAAGACCTTAGGTACGGGCCCCACTCGGTAGTAGTTGTATAACATGTATAATATAGATATATTAAGGACCTTAATAGTAGCCCCATTATAGACTCTTACTGTATGGGGGCCGTACCCAACTAAGGCCTTACGTCGTAAACCCAAGCCAACACAAGGAACGACGTTGCCTTCTACGTCGGGCCCGGCCCTCGTCCTCCCTTCCGGGGCTGCGGCTTTTAAGGGCTCCTTTGAGGGATCCTTTAGTTGTTCTATCTGGTAGTTTCCGAAAATTAGGGGTACCTTATTTTGGGGTCCTTATAATAAGGATCCTACTAATTTAGGGTACTATATTGGGTCCCCCATTTTCGGAAACTCCCATCTATTGCGGTTGTAAACGAGGGCTTCGGGGGGGTAAGGCCGGACAAGCGTCCCTGTGCAAAAACTGACATCGAACTCTCTCTGTAGCGCTCCAGAAGACCCCGAACTGACGAGGAAGCTAGACATTGACACGGCAACCCAAGCACCGAACCCTAAGCCCTAAACCCTAAACCCCAAGCCCTAAACCTTGAAAAGAGCCCGGAAAAATCCCTTAAGCCCGAAGCGCAAACTAATGAGGAAGCTGGACATGGACGATGACAATGCTGTGAAGCTGAGAGAACGGACCGGGCTGGCGCGCCGGGGGGTTAAGGGTTTAGTCTTTAGGCTATACCCTAAGGCTCTGAGGACTCATATTTTATGGCCTTTGGGCCTAAAGGCCATATTATATAAGGCTTTTGGGCCATTTTGAGCCTTAGGGATCTCAGCTTTCTCCGGGTTCATGTGTTTTCCGAGGGTAAATCCCCAAGGGGTGATGAACCTAAGGGCGCCAGGGCGGGCGCACAAGTAGGGCCGAGAGACCTTAAAGTTTTAAAGCTTTTCATAGAGCCCCGGTTTTGGAGGGTTTAGGGTTTTAAGGTTAAGTAGTATCTAAACACGATGTACCGGTTTGTGACTAGGATGAGGGCCGTTAGCACTCCAAGACTGTCGGAAATAACGAACAGTCCTTAAATTTGTCAGTAACCCTAACATGATTAAAGGAATGTTTCTTTATTTACTAGGACCTAGAGTAGGCCCTTATTCCCCCTTTTTTTGCGGGTTTAGGTTCTCTTCTAACCCGCTTTAACCCAAAAGGGGCACCCTTTTTATTCCTAGCTTACTCTGGGGTCTAGTCTAACGGAGCCTACAGGAAGCTTCCAAAAAAGCCCTTTACACCCCTCCATGGGAGCAGATCAAACCCTGTAGAGAGTCTTAGCTCGTTGCTGAAGCGGTTCACGGTTTAGGGTTTAGGGTTTAGGGTTGGTTTCTAAAAACCCTCAGCCCTAATTAACCTCGCAACGGGTACAGAACTCTTCTCGAGGAATCCTTGAAAACTTTTTAGCTCCAACTTCAAAACCCTCAACCCTGAACCAAAACCCTACGCCCGAAAACCCCACGTCGCCAGAGGCCGAGCACCCTTAAGATCCCTTATAATTAGTAACCCTTAGAGAGCCCTTTACAGGAACCCTAGGAACCCTAGAATAGCAACCCTTTTAGGGCCCTTTAAAGGAACCCTAGGAACCCTACAATAGTAACCCTTAGAGAGCCCTTTAAAGGAACCCTAGGAACCCTAGAATAGTAACCCTTTTAGGGCCCTTTAAAGGAACCCTAGGAACCCTAGAAGTCCCCTGACTCTTCAAGAGGCCCAGACCCCAAACCCGAGAGCCCCAAGCTGGTCAGGCCGAGCTCGATAGCCTCAAGGAGGAGCTGCGGGAGCGCATCCACGAATGTCCCAACTCGGCTTTTTTCGAAAGGGGCTTAGGGTTATACCTTAACCCCAAATAACCTGCCCTTTTTCGGGACTTATATAAAGAAATGATAGTAAGGAACCCAAAAAAGGTAGGTTATTCAGGGTTAAGGTAGGGTTTAGGGTTTAGGGTTTTTGGAGTTATAGGATTAGGTAACCGACTCGGGGCCTTAAGGCTGAAATTCGGCGAGTGTAGGCCTTTACAATGAGAATAATTAGGGTTTCAACAAAGGTTCCCTGAAGGGTTTCCACAACACAAGGATTCGTGCAAAGGTCCTACGATGGGGTTTCACAGGGACTGAGGGTTTGGAGTTCAGGGTTTTCAGGGCATGAAGGGGTGGGGTTCAGGCTGAGGGTTACGGAGTTTGTTACTGCTTGTTGGAATCCCTAGATGGTCATAGAGTATGGTAGCAGAAGCTCATCTGCGCGCTCTTGCCTCAAACCGGAAAGCTTAATCTTTCGTGTTCCTTAATGTACTTAAGCATAGAAAAGTCCCCCACCAAAAAATCAACTAAACACGCACGCTCATTTGATAACAACTCCAGCTTGAGTGTTTTTCTTAAGGTGTCTCGACTTCTCAGATACTGAATGCTTTTCCGAGAGACTTCAAAACCCCTCAACCAGACCCGTCTGAAAAATAGTTGAAGTCTTTGTGTAGCTACCCGCTGCGGGATATCCCTTACTAGGGCTATACAATCCCTAAATCCTAACGACGGTCTGGTAGAGCATCCACGAGAGCTTTTGGGTATGTAGGGCTTTCTGAAGCTTGTATTCTAGGGGTTGGGTTTTTGTCGAGGGATTCTTGGATTTGCAGTTTAAGTGGTTTTGGGTTTGGGGAATTCCTTTCCCACACTTTACAGGGAGATGCACGATACTCGAGAACTACAACCGCAGATGGAGCCGTTTTTTCAGATCTTGTGGGGCCATGCTGCCATGGGGCCATCCAGGCTGAGGGAACATGAGCGCGACTCGCGTGCGTCTTCTGCTGATGCCTCAGAACCCAGAGAGCCCAATACCTCTTAATTAAGGCATATAGCTTGAATCATAATATGAAGCCCTATATAATTTAAGCCATCTTCCTTAATTAAGGGGTATTGGGCTCTCTGGGAATCCACCGCCTGGACAGGGCAGACTGCAGTTGACGGCGCCAGAGGAGTTTGAAGACCAAGCACGGCATCTCGGCCAACCGACAGCGGCCTGGGCATGCTTCAGGGTGCCGCGGCAGGCCAAAGGTCCTTGCAATTCTCATGCCGATCATCGTGAGGCGACTGGAGGAGGCAGCGCTAGCCTGAGTCATCACGCCTAGACTAGCAGCTTCAAGTCGGCACCCATCACTCATACATACAAGGAAAATTTGAAAAGGCAAATGCCGGAGTACCGAGCCGAGGGCTAGAAGACCCTGAACCTTGAACCCTGAGCTCTGAGCGGCGAGGGAGAAACTCATACGTCGACGAGCTGTTCTACACTCACGCACGCTGAAGCTTGAGCCTGCAAGACTTAGCTGAATCCCAAACCTCAAACCCTGAACTCTTAAACCCTACTAACCCTAAGCCCTAAGCTCCTAAGCCCAAGCCCTGGACCTAGACCCATGTCCGAAACCCTAAACTCTAAGCCTGATAAACCTCAGGTTCTTTTGAGTATGCGGCTAGTTGCTAGATTGGGGTCCCTTTTAGGGTTCGTTTTATTCGGATGGCAGCCGGTTTTGGGGTCAAAAGGACCCTAATTTAGAGAACTACCCATATATGATAGAAGCCTCATAGTCTCCTTATAGAAACCTTATATATATATATATATAATATGTATATATGTATATATATATATATGTATTAAAGGAAGCCTTTATAGATTCCTTTAAGGATCCTTAAAAAGAGACCCATTTAGGGAACTTACCATCTGCGGTTCTTGCAACAACCCCAATTTTTGGCCATGGCAGGTCACCTCCTCCGAAGGCAGTTGAACGCGCTTTCACAGGACGGGGGCATAGGGTGCTTCTCGAAGGGTTGAGGGTTCAGGGTTTCGAGTTCCTTTAGAAATCAGCTTAATGGTCCATGGTTATAAACTCAAAGGTTAATCAACTGTTGCATTCTATTTGGGGTCGACGAGGCTTATAGCAGGGTTAAGGGTTCAGGGGTCTTCTGTAGGATTGGACAGGATGTTCTCTGGCGGATGGATATCGGAACGCCGGTTGGTTCTACGAGTACTGTTGTAACCCGGAGTCTAGCCAACACCCTAAAACTGTAAACCCAGGCCGTAGGTAGCCATTCACAGTCTGCTCTTACCTCGATGCAGGTCGGTCTCCCGCGTCTAGTTTTTTGCTGCGAAGTTGCAAGGTTCCCTGAAGCTTTGGATATGTAGTGCATGCCGCAGAGATTCAACAAGAAAGGCCCAACACTTTTTGCAGCCAAGTTGTTATCTAAGCCTCATAAACGGGCGCATAAGGAATGTATAAAGACTAGTGTGGGCTTATATGACTGTTTAAGGGTGCATTGTTGTGTAATCTTTTAATTTAGCATTATGCATCTCTTCTGCCGCTCGTGAACGACAGTTTACGGGCGTTGTGGAGGCTGCGCGCACGCACTGTCCGCACAGAAGCCCGGCTGATCAGTTATGTCAGTTAAGCGTCACGGCTGCAGCGTGCGTTGCATGCGGCCAGGGGCCTGGAGAGCTTTATCAATACTGCTAGTTGGGTTTCGGCACACCAACGCTTGTTTATCAGCGCAGTTGCCCTGTGCAAGGGTGCGCTTCATAATTTCTTCATGATCACCTTCACGTCGCGCGTGCGACAAAATGGTCGCGGACCTTGGCATGCAGACTTTCCTGCAGGGACTTGGGCTCTGCAATGCAACTACCGAGGAGCTTCTTGACGCAGACGGCAAGTTGTGGCACAGCCTCTCAGACCTCGTGGAGGGGTTCAGGTGTTCAGGCTGCTTGGTGTTGTAAGAAGGTGAAGATGGGGGAGTATGGGGTTTTGTTCCACAGCGTTCAGCACCGAACGCAGGATAGATCGGATAGCCCGAGCTCTGGAGCCAAACTTTACATGGCTGTTCTAAACAGAAGCTACCCTTACCGAAAGTGGGTTACGGTTCCTAATCCCCATATAAGCCTCCCAGTGGCTGACACAGGTACCTTGAACCCTAAACCCCTAAACCCTAAACCCCTAAACCCTAAACCGTAAACCAAATGAAAGGCGGAGGTCACGTCTCCGCGGACCGGGGGACGGCGGCTGTCACTGAGCAACAAGCCCCTTGGGAATGCAAGAGTTCACAGAGTGCCAGGTTTCACGGGCCGTAAAGAGTAAAGGCCCCGTTAGGATGTAAGCCTTAGGTGCATCTGCAATGCGGGTTCAGCTTTTTCCCTGAATGGTTTTGAGTTTTGAGGTGCTGTATTGAGGGCTCTCCGGGAGCTTTGCCACACCAGGGCTATGGGTTCCGTGATCCATTTTTGGAGGGATTAGGGGAAGAGGTTTCGGCGGTTTAAGGTGATCTGTTTTGTGTGCGGCATTTTGAGTGTAGTGTGCCATTCCTTGTCGTACGCAAAATTCACAAACCCAAAAACCCATACTTTTGGTTCGGGCGATCTGTAGGAAATCCTAGCATTAATATGCGTGCACGTCCCGGAACAGTAAGTACTACAAGCACAGAGCTCAAACCCGAAACCCTTGATGCTCAATCGCCTTAATTAGTCTACACGACACAAAGAATTTGTACGATTACTCAAGAGGGTTAGCCGATCAACTTTTCCTATGCTATAGTAAATTCACAATCCTATTCAACTCATGAAGGCCTTCTTACGACGTCACTTTGATCCCCGTGTGGCTTGGGTTCTTCTGCGAAGTTCCTGTGTTACACAGGGGGTTATGCCCTGAAGCCCAAACTCAAAAGGTGCCGCATGGGCCGGGACAGCATGGGCTGGACTGCCGGCGCCGCCTGTGGTGACACATGGGCCACCGCAACCGGTGGCGGCACTGTCGTCGCCGGACCTCGCCGCGGCAGTGATGAAGTTAGCATCGGCTATTCGAGAGAATTAAACCCTAAACCCTACACCCTAAACCCCAAACCCTGAACCCTACACCCTAAACCCTAAACCCTAAACCCTGAAACCCTAAAACCCTAAAACCCTAAAACCCTAAAGCCCTAAAACCCTAAACCGTAAATCCTAAACCGCGGCACAGCGAGTGTCGCCTCGCCAAAGGGACGCGCCGCGGCGGGGGGCGATTCCTGGCTGCGCACGCGACTCCGGGTTTAGGGTTTAGGGTTTAGAGTTTTAGGGCTTTAGGGTTTAGGGTTTAGAGTTTTGGGGTTTTAGGGTTTTAGGGTTTGGGGTTTTGGGGTTTCAAACAGATTCGGGGCCTTTATCAGCATTGACTTGTCAGTAACTGCGCCGCCCGTAAGCACGGCTGTTTTACCGCTGTCTTCAACCTGAGATCAGAGGATGAAACGACAGACCCTGTAGTCCCTGTAGTACTTCTATAATCGGTTTAGGGTTTAGGGTTTAGGGTAAACCGCTGCCGGGATGGAGGACCCTTGAGATTCACGCACCAATCAACGCAGAGTTCTGGTCGCCGGTGACCTCTAAAGCCTACATTCTAAGCTCCCTAAACCCGTATCCCTAAACCCTAAAGTCCAAGGCCTAAACCCAAACCCGGAAGGCAGAAATCCTGTAAACATAGTCATTACTTTTTCCTCCGACCAGTCCAGTACTATAGGGGCCTTGATAACTACCTATACTATTTTGGGAGTTCCTTAGTATAATTGTAGCATAATGGGCCCCAAAACCCTATTGAAATTATTAAGGTCCCCATACCGTAAAACACTCAGGTTTTCGCCCCCATCGCCGAAGCTGTTGAAAGGGCTCAAACACAGCAATCCGAATAATTGGTAATAAATGGATTTAAGAGGGTTCCTTTGAAGGGATCTAGTAGGGTTCCTTCAGTACTAGCATCCCCTTATCGTCCCTAGTATATAACAGAGTATACTGTACCCCCCCCAAAAAGCCCACTCTAATCACCATTGTCACCAGCGTCATCGTTACTATTATTGTTAAGGCCCCTGCAAGAAGCTAGTGGATGCAAGAATTATAGCATCCCACGAGCCTTAGTACCACAGCAAGCTCTAAGTCCTCAAGTCTCCTACCTGAAGAACTCAGGCCCTCACTTGAAGCCTCACAGTTTCTGTGGCTTCTCATAAAACACCCGTAAGAATCTCTATGTGGGAGTTTCCGAAAACAGGGGATCCTAATATAGTACCCTAAATAGTAGGATCCTTATTATAAGGACCCCCAAATGAGGTACCCCTAATTTTCGGAACATGTAATCCTTCTAGAACCCTGAGCTGGGCCTAGCTACCCCTGAACAGCCCAAGCCACTTCTCAAAACACCAGTGAAAGACGTCCTAAACCCTTAACCCTCACCCTAAGCCATAGACCCCCTGAAGCCTAAAAAGGGGTCCAGCGCCCTAAGCCCTCGTAAATCCGAAGGCCTAAAAGCCCAAAAACGGTCTGAGCCTAAACCCTCAACCCTAGGCCCTGGATCCCAAGCCCTAAACCCTAAACCCTCCAACTAGTAGGAGTTGGAGGGTTTCTTTTTTCAAAAAACCCTCCAACTCCTAGTCCCCAAGCTCTGAGCCGTTTGGGTGACTCTCCGTGCGTTCACCCAGGCTCTCGTTGAGTTTTGGGGTCTCCGTCCCGGCCTGAGGGACGGGTCGGCTTTCCTTGACTCCTTTTCTAGGACCTAGAGTAGGCCCTTATTCCCTTTTTTAGGGTTCAGGTTCCCTTATAAGCCCCTTTAAACCAAAAAGGGCATCCTCTTTTTTCCTAGATTACTCTTGGGTCTAGTTTTAGGGTTCTGTAGGGGGGGCCTTAGAGTTCGGGATGATTTTGTTGGGGCTGAGAGTTCAGAGGGTTTACATAGGCTGTCTTTCGGGTTCAGGGTTTATAGGGTTTAGGGTTCAGGGTTCAGGGCGTTTTGGTTTTGGGTGTTTGGGGGGGTCATTTCTTGTTTGAGTTCTGGGGGGTGGGGGTTTGAGGGCTCAGGCAATCCGATTTGGCGGTTGGAGCGTGGGGATCAGCTGTTGGAGGCTCGTAAGGGCGTTGGTTGGGTTTCCTACTTGGAGGCTCACGGGTACTTATAAGTTGGGGTTATAAGTCCACTATTAATGGGGGTCATCAATATAGTCATCTTGCTTATGACCAGCAGTATATCTCCCCATGAAGCTCCAAGTAATCCTGCGAAGTTCTTGAAAGGCTTTGTGGGGGATACTTGGTTCTGCAGGGTCCTACACATTGGTGTTTTGGTAGGGTTCTGCAGGGCTTTCTGTAGGGTGTTGGGGCGGGCGTCGGGGTTCAGGGGGAGGGGTTTCGAAGTTGCAGGACACCCTTCCGGGAACTAGTGAGTCGCCATGTAGAGCGCCCTAGGAATCAACTACTACTGCTCTCGTTCTCTGTAGTCTCACAGGTGTAGCGTAGCTCAAGCCCCACAACTGAATAAGCCATGTCATCCCTAGGCTAGCCACTACACGCTCCCAGTAGGTAGCGGCCCAGTATTCCGGCTTCGGGTTTGGGTTTGCGAGAAAAGCTCTGGGTTTTGGGTTGTCGTGACTGGGGTCAAGGGTTGTTGGAATACGGTTTTGGATTACGGTTTTGCTCTGTAGGGCCCGCAACCCTGTGCTGATGATCTATGGTTTGTATATAAACAGATAATATAGGTCTGTAATATAAATAAACAGACAAATAAATGAATGTAAATATGAATATAAACATAAATAAGTAAATAAATATTATATATATATATATATATACACATACATACATACATACATACATACATACATACATACATACATACATACATACATACACACACACACACACACACACACGGTTAATCTGGTGTTGCGGTTTGAACCCGGCAGCCCGCAACCTGTCGAGACCCGGAAGTTCAGACTAGAGTCTCGAAGGTTTACATGTGTTCCAGGGTTTAGCCTAAAGAACCTACCTTTTTGGGGGTTCCTTAGTATGATTTTCTTATATAAGTCCCTTAGAAACGTAGGTTATTCGGGGTTAAGGTAAACCTAGAAAGCAGTCTCAGCCGTAGAAAGCTTTGAAACCTCCGGCGAACCCCATAAAAGGCAACCCTTCACACGCGTAGAACCTCAAGGCCTTTACGGTCCGAGACTCCCTAAGCCCAAAAGGGCAAAGAACACAAAGCCTTCTGAAAGAACATGCTCTGAGCCCGGATAGAAAGGCAGCCCTCACAAAATCCTGAAGCCCTTGTGGGTTCCTTGAGATTCCGTATATGTAGAGCCCCTATATTACGGAGCCCTGATGGACCCCAACAGTCCAACTTTATGAGCCGAATCTTTTGTGGGGCCCTTAGCTAGCTCCGTAGCACCTCAAGCAAACGGAACCCAAACCCTAAACCCTAAGCCCTAAGCCTTACAAAGGCGCCGCTAACCGTATAGAACCCAAAAGCCATTTCTGGAGAACCTTCCACTTATATGGGAGTTTCCGAAAATGGGGGACCCTGATAGAGTACCCTAACTAGTAGGATCCTTATTACAAGGACCCCAAAATAAGGTACCCCTAATTTTCGGAATCTCCCATATACACCACATCAAGCTGCTACTGTAGAGTTCTGGATCCCAGCCCTAAACCCTCAACTCTTATGAAAAACACCGGAATCCTCAAAGAACCACCCGCAACCCTAAACCCTAAACCCTAAACCCCTAAACCCCTAAACCCCCGCTTCAAATCTCTGAGCACCGAGGAGGAGGCGCATAGCCCAACAGAGCCGCTCCAGATGCAAACAGAGGGCCGTCAGCAAGTGTCGTAGGGTTCAGGGTTTAGGGTTTAGGGGTTTAGGGGTTTAGGGTTTAGGGTTTAGGGGTTTAGGGTTTAGGGTTTAGGGGTTTAGGGGTTTAGGGGTTTAGGGTTTAGGGCTTAGGTAGGCTTCAGGGCTTAAAGGGAACTCCAGAAAGTTGGAATATGGTTTCAGGGTAGGATACCTTGTAATATACCATAGAAGGGTTAGGAGAATCATATTCCAACTTTCTGGCTTTTACTTTAGGGCTTTGGGCCTAGGGTTCCCTAAACCCTAAACCCTAGACCCCATCGTCAACGGGGCGCGTATCATTTTTTTGGCCAAGCAGTCGTTTGACGCAGGCCACGGACAAGCCAGATTTGCCTAAGGAGTTGGCATTTGGCTGGTCCCCAGCAATCTGCAAGACTTGTGTGCACTCCAAGAGTACCGCCAGCCTGCCTAAAAAACCCTAAATTTAGGGTTTCGGGCTTAGGGTTCAGGGTTCTAAGAGAATGGTTCCAGGAGCTGCTATCAGGGACTTAGCTGGAACACCTGACATCCTCGGGTTTAGGGTTTAGAGGTTTAGGGTTTAGAGGTTTAGAGGTTTAGGGTTTTAGGGTTTGTGTGTTTCGGTTTTCGGGTCTAGCCGCTGAAAAGCACAGGCCCAAACCCTTGTAAATCTCGATAGAGCCCCGATCGATCTCTGCCAGGCACTTCTCAAGCCCTTAAAGCGGTACTGTAGGGCTCTATACCAGGGTTCTCTTCTAAGGGGTTCTATAGGGTTCTATCGTAGGGTCCCCTTTAAACGGGTTTGAAATGCATGGTTTTTTAGGTCCCCGAAAATAGTACGGCACCTGGTAAACAAGAACCGCAAGGGTAGCCCCAAGCTCAGAGACCTGCCAAGGGACGTTCCCAAGTCCGATTCCAAGCAGCTGCTTCTGCATGTCAGCCCGGACATGTTTTGCTCTTGGAGCAGCGCTTAGGGCTTAGAGACTAGGTGTAGCGGTTCAGGTGTTAGAGCTTATGCTTTTAGGGTCCCTAAAACCCTTAAATGCATAGGGTTTAGTGTCGGGAGTGAAGGATTCGAGGGGTCATAACCCTCTTGGGTTTCAGGGTCTAGAGTTACCCTAAACCCGAAAGCTTGGGACAGTGAAGGCTTCTTCGGGTGTTAAAGGGGTTCAGGGTTGTGGGTTTGAGGATTGATTGTAAAGGGTTCCGGGTTTTCTCTTTTGGGTTCAGGGTTAGGGGTTTGGGGTTTTGATGTTCACGGCGTTAGGGGCTAGGTTTGGGTTCTGTAAGATGCCAGGCTCGGCGCACCGCTTGTCGTTCTCAGGGTCGATCCCGCCCCATAGTTGTCGGTTCAAAGATGTCAAAGATGTTCTGGGAGCGTTCAGATTTCCAAGATTTCCAACCCCCGTCGACCATTGCTTAACTAAGTAGGCATGTGGGGCATTCTATATCATCCCTTATTCTTGGGCCTAAGAGGATCTTATGTACGAGCATTTTTCACAAGCTTTAAAGGGCCAACCTACTTAAAGTAAAGATTGACCAGCAGACCTCATGCTAACACCACGTTTGGACCGCTTGAAACCCTAAACCCCTAAACCCTAAAGCCCTAACCCTAAACCGGGGCTACCAAGGCTTGGGGTCCAGCAGGATCTAGGGCACGGTTTATCTTCCCGAAAATGCCAATCCCGCACACAGTGGGAGCGAGGTTTGCAGGTTTTGGTGGTGTTCAGGATTTACGGTTCCCTAAACTTTAAACCGGCAGCCAGACAGTTGGAACATCATTCTCCTCATTCCCTTAAGTGGGGATCCCAGCAATAGTTATATTAACTTTTTGGTACTCACTATCAGGACCCTCCTTGTGCCCTTAAAAAGGGGTATATGGTCCCAAATAATGGGCATTTTGGGTCTGATAGAGGGTAGATGGAGGGTCCAGGTAAAGTTCGCTTTTTGTAGATCCTGTAGGCATCTTGAAACGGGGACCTAGGAAGGCACAGTTATGAACCCTGAGCCCGAACCCGAGTCCTTAAATCCTCTCCTATTCTTGCCTGAATCTGAACTTCTAGGCTCGATACCGTAAATCCAAAGCCCAAGCCACAGACCCGAAATCTTAAAGCAGGAACTCTGATCACTCTAATCTCACGAAAACCTTGAACCCTACACCCTACGCCCTAAACCCTGAATCCTAAACTCGAATCCCTAAAGCCCCGACTCGTGCCAGCATGAGCACCGCCACGGCTCGAATCCCTTGGACAACGAGAACTACGAGGCCGTAGTTACTCGAGGGCGGTCAGGACCTGGAAAATTATAGAGGGGTTTGTCGTATATTGAAGGCCCTAGTAAAACTATTTGATTAGGGATGGCAACGGGTAGTGTTACGGCGAATTCAGACCTCTGTCGGGGTGCCAAGCTTCAGGATGCATTTTCTTCAAAGGGCAACTTGTAATCCTGCAAAGTCTCTATGCTAGACTGCGCAGGGTGCTTCTTGCTGGCTGTCTGAGGGTTGTGTAGCACAGGCGTCAGGGTTTTAGGGTTCAGAAGTGTCTGGGGTTCCGTAGTTGCGCCTTAGAATGAGACGGGGGTGGCTGAGACTGGGTCGATAATATAGGGGCCTAAATAATCACCAATACCATTTTTGTGGTTCCTTATTAGAAGTATAGTTTAATGGACCCCCAAACCCTACTGCAATCATTAAGGCCCCTACAGCTTCGGAAGCGCGGAACACCGAGCCTTGTTACACCCAGCCGATGCCAGGTGCGAACCTTGTTTGCTCATTGTAAAAGTAAGTTCAGGGCTTGGGGTCTAGTGTAGGGGCCGTAGTAATTACCTATACTATTTTGGTGGCTCCTTATTATAGTTATAGCACAATGGGTCCCAAAGCCTTATTCTAATTATTAAGGCACCTACATTAACGCTGCAATGTTTGAGGTTTGCTGGGTTTATTTGAGGGGCCTGGGTTTTGGTGCTACTGTAAGATGGTGCCTTGACTAAACCTAAAACCCAAATGCCTACAAAGAAGGAGGCAGGGAAGGTAAACCCACGCCAAAAACTCGAAGCGCTAAATTCCAGAAATCGTGTCCACAAAATCTTTGAAAGCCTGGAACCCTGCAGCCTACAGCCTCAAATCCCAAATGAACCCGACATTAAACGCCCTAAACCCTAAACCCTTCAACCCGACGTCCCCTAAACCTGAACTGTGGCCGGCTTCCTTTGATCCGCATCCGGATGCCGGCTTAGGGTTTAGCGGTTTAGGCTCTCAGGCCAAAGGACCTATGACTGCCTCACATGCAACGCGATATCTCCTTGAAACATATGCTGAACACCTCAGCACCAGAGCACCCCGATAAAGCCCCACTAAGCGCAGAGCCCAAGCCCTTAACTAATCACCAAAAGCCTGCGAACCCCGAAATCCTTAAACGCCTCAAAGCAAAACCCCGAACGCATCAAAAAGCACCAGATTTCCCGAAAAGCCGAAGTGCTTCAACGCCCTGAATCCCATCTTTCCAACGCTGCAGTAAAACCCTAAAGCCTAAACGCCTAAACCCTAAACCCCGAATGGTGGCAGGCTGAGTGTCAGGTGCTTCTGAAGGCTGGACAGAACCGCCTCACTGGTTTCTCTTTGGGTGTAGGGGGGAATATTATGGTCCGTTTTGGGTCCTGATTCTAATACGGCACCTAATATTTAGGGCACCCAAAAAAGGGACCCTAATTTTGACAACTACCCACATAAAGGATCGGTGGAGTCGGTGCGGTCCCTACTGGGAGTCTAGGGTTTGGGGCTTAGCGGTACGGCACCTAATATTTAGGGTACCCAAAAGGGGACCATAATTTTGACAACCACCCACATGATCAGCTGGTGGTTTCACCGTTTGACCACGGGCCATACTTGGCCTAATTTCTATAGGCTCCTAAACTATTTTGGGGGTTCATTACTATAATTATAGTGTAAGGGGCCCCAAAACGCAATTCTAATTATTAGGGCCCCTGCATTGTGCAATCTGTGGGGCGTTACAAAGAGTTGGACTGTGAACCCTACTGTTGATGATATAATTCCTGCATTACCTTAAGGACCCTAAACTATGGGAATTATGGTATATTCCTTATCATGGGAAGTGCAGGATTTATATTATCAACCCTATGAGCCCCATTGGGTCGATAAGGTTTGTGGTTTCGTTTTGCATTTGACGGTGCGCCTGGGCGCATGCGTAAGCGATTATCGGCCTAAGCCGGCTCGGCTTGAGGTTTAGGGTTTAGGGTTTAGGGTTTAGGGTCCTAAACCCTAAACCCTAAACCCTAACGCCCTCAACCTTTAGCCCTGAGCCCCGAAAGCTCCGCGCATGTAACACTGACGTGTCGGGCCGACGGTCATGAATGTGGAAGACTGTGCACGTTTTGCAAGCCTTGTGGGGTTTAGTATGTCTGTTTTTGTGTGTCTGTGTGTTCAGGTGTCTACGTATCTATGTATGTATCTTTGTATTTGTGTGCTTTTGTATATCTACATCGTTCATATTATATTGTTGTGGGCTTTTGGTGCAAAACTTAGGCCTTAACTCATGCGGTTAAAGTCTCTACGAGCCACGGAGCCAACCAGGAGGCCCCTGTGAGAACCTGGAGAGCCCCGTGTCCCTTGGTGAAACAACACCTTAACACCCTGAAGAACCTACCTTTTTAGGGTTCCTTATTATGATTTCCTTATATGAGTCCTTAAAAAGGTAGGTTATTCCGGGGTAAGGCATTCCTTACACTCATAGCATCAAGCCCCCGCCAATAATTTAAGTTATGTTCTTCAGCGAGGGCGTAGTGAGCTTCCTGGGTATCATGACCCTCAACTTTAACTGAAACCCCAAAACAAATGCTTCAACCTTGTAATATGCTAAAACACCCCAAAGCTTATTCGAACCCCGTTGTTTCAACATGTCTTGGTCGAGGAGCTGGAAGCAAGGAAGGAGGAGATTCAGCGACACGAAGAGGTGGCCGCATCATTGAATATTACTCCGAACGCACAGAAAAGCTTGATACTGCGATTCTATAGGACTCCGGAATATACTTATGTAGTAATTAATCAGAACATGGCCGAAAGCCTACTCCAGTTTAACGCCTCTACGATACTCAGCAAGACACACGTCGACGCTGAAGAGGACGGTTGGCCCTAAGGGGCTCTTGTCGCAGTGCCCCATGCTGCAAGCGGCCATGGGCGAGATCCATGACTCTGGCAACAAAGCTGTGCTGGGGCAAAGCGGCGACAGGTCGGCAGTCGGCAGCCGAGCTGCTGCCACAGGATGCAGAAGTCGAAGTACGCGGAGCTGGTGAGGATCCTTATGAAACCACCCCATACCCTTAAACTCTGAAAGGCAGTAGCTGGATGAGTTTTGGAAAAGATTAGAATATTGCCCTGAAGAACTGGCAGCCCACACCCGCTTATAACCCATACTGGGGGACTTATAACCCATGTATGATTACCCCTAAACTTTATAGAACCCTTAAAGGTACCCCACAACCCCAGTTATAGCCCCCATCACCCATGAACCTCCAAGTAGGGATCCCAAGGCTTGACTTTGCTGCAGGATGTAGTGTTCAGGGCTTGGTGGGGTTAGATAGTCAGCCGGGTTAGGGTCTGGGGTCTAGAGTTTAGGGTTTAGGGGTTACGGTACACCCCATAAAGTTGGAAACCGGATTAAGGCCAAATTGTGCTGGGATTCCCTATATGCATTACTCTTCAGGATTGAAGCTGTTGGGTTTCCAACTTTTGGGCTTCTACTGTAGATAGTAAGCCGGACCCGGGGCCTCGGTTTAGGGTTTAGGGTTTAGGGTTTAGGGTTTAGGGCCTCGCATGGCTCCTTATGGCCTTGGGGTTTACAGTAGGGTTGAGTGGTTTTGGCCTGTAGGGTTGAGGGGTTCAAGAGGTTTCAGTGGTGCAGGGTCCGTATAGATCAGAACAGGCTTCTGCAGGGTAGATACCGGATACTATTGTTGAAGTTAAGGATTTGGATGGGTTGGGGTCTTGAGGTTTAGGGGCTATGTTGTGGATGAGATCGACAAGTCGCAGACCCTGCAAAACTACCCTAAACCCTACCCCCTAAACCCCTAAACCACCCTAAACCCCTAAAACCCCTACACCCCTAGGCCCCTACACCTCTAAACCCCTAAACCCTAAACCCCTAAACCCACAACGCAAGAAAGAGGCACCAGGCGAGGCGCCGGCTGCCCAAGAGTTTAACCTCGGAATGGGGCCAGCTAATACCAGAAGGGTTTAGGGTTTAGGGTTTGATCTAGAGAGAAAGGGTACTTTAAACCCAATATGAATTAATATAAGTACCCCCCCCATTAATTATCATTGTGCAGTCTTGAACCGTCCCGTGGTCTTGAGATCTGCACGGGATACAGGATCGAGGGGCTTTGAAAGGGGTTTTATGTTAGACTCAAAGCCCTACGACATAATCCTAAACCTTAAATCCTGATAGTCTTGTATTTTCTGCTGAATGTTTATACGGGTTTCAGGTCGGCGCCAGCCGAAAAACACGAAGTCACAGCAAAAGATGATTTCAATACTAGAGCTCAATGGGGTGTAGGGTTTAAGGTTGAGGGAGTGTTGGTCTTCAGTCTTTTACGGCGAAGCAGAGCTTCTAAATGTAAAGCCTGAACAAGCAGATTCCATCCCGAAGTGCTCCAAGCTGATGCCGAACGCCAAGATGTCATCCGAAACCATAGGATTTAGGGTTTACGGTTAACTAATCGTCTAATATCGACAGCGGAGCGAACAACAGCGTTCTCTGAAAGTCCCATATTTAGGTTTCACGTGACTATGGCTTATCCCGAAGCCCCTTTGTAATGAATACGGCACCTACATCATTTTGCCCCTACGATGATCTTTTTCACACCCCCAGACCAGACACCTCCTAAGCCTTTGTTGCAACCCTGCGAAGCCTTTTGGAGTTCGAAATTAGAGATCAGCGCTTACGATTTATAGAGCTTAACTAGGGGTGATGATTAGGTTTTTGCAACTTAGGGCTTCGGTTTTTGCAACTTAGGGCTTCGGGGTTTTAAAGAACTAACTACCAGTGAGACATGACCCAAACAGCTCATTATAGCGCCCGCACATCCCGGCAAGCCTTTTGAAAGTCTGGAAGCCGTGGAGGTGTTCCGGGAGCAGCAGTCGAGGATCGCGACCCTGGAGGATGCGAACACGTGGGGGAGCACATTGCTGCTCACTAGGATCATGGCGATTCAACTCCCGGGCCGACCTCGAGCCCAATTTCGAGTCCTACTATCATGTCGTTCTACCAGTATGATTGTCAGCTATTACTGTTAGCTGCCTTCTGTTTTACATCACAGTCTTGCGAATAAGACTGGGAGGTCTCGGGCTGGGGGTCTAGGGTTTAGGGTTTACAACAAGGGTTTTGGGGGTTTGAGGGCTCAGGATATGTTGTGGTCCTTTCTTTCGGTTTTCTTGGGTTCAGAGTTCAGGGGTCCGAGTTTAGGAGGAGCTTTTGCACGGCGCCCAATTCTGAAAAGGAACCCAACGGAATACTATTCTGCATGCGTTCAGACCCCTACACGGGGGTTTTCGACATTGGGGACATTGGGTTGTGTACATGCGCCATGTTGCGAAGCATAGGGCGCAAATTTTCTGTATGTTCCCAGTATTCCTAAAAAGGGGGTTCGGCACTCCGATAACTTTTTGTGCGTCGTGTAGTGGCAAGGCCAAAGCACAATACCTGAGCCACACCCGACAGATAAGACACCAAACCTCGTGCCTGCCTAATGTCCACACACCGTGCTTTTCACTCCGCACATTCAAGTTCTTAATAGACTAGGACCTGGAGTAGGCCCTTATTCCTTTTTTTTTAGGGTTCAGGTTCCCTTATAAGCCCCTTTAAACCAAAAAGGGCACCCTTTTCATTCCTAGGGTACTCTTAGGTCTAGTAGAGGGAACTTGGAGAATTCCAAACACCATTCCTTAGGCTTTCTAACCATGGTTGTAGTGATTAAGGTGTACCCTCCTTCGCCCCACCCCCACAGTACAACAACCATATATGAATATACATTGGAGAAGGCTTTAGGCTTTAGGGTTTAAAGATCCTACCCTAATCCCTAAATCTGAGAGTTTCCGGAAGTAGCTGACCCCAGTATAGTACCCTAAAATAGTAGGATCCCTATTATAAGGGCCCCCAAAAAAGCTACCCCTAATTTTCGGTAACTCCTATACCCTAAACCCGACAGATCCCTTATAGGATCCCTTGAATGGAACCCTTCAAGGATCCCTTTTAAAGGTACTCCTAAGTTTCGGAAACTCCCAAATAGCATCCGAAAGGCGCAGCTTGCGCAAACGGTGCCTTTCGACGAAGGCCCGGTACCCCTTGGGGGACCTAACAAGGGACTTGAAGTTAGAGAGATACCTTCAGGGTTCAGGGTTTAGGCTTTAGGGCTTCTTCCGGGACCTGAATGTATACCAAACCCTACTTTTTTGTAGGTCCTTAATATAGACGCGAATAGGGAGTTTATAGTGATCCGACAAAAGCGTAGGTTTAGTAGGCTACGGTACTCTTATTCCGATGGTTGTGCCTTGCCGTGCAAGCTCGCTGAACTTCTCAGTTTAGGTTTAGGGTATAGAGTTCAGGATCTATCGGTTTCTGCAGTGTTTCCTACAAGTGACCCCCAAATCCCTTGCCGGTCGTGCTTTCTGCATCCCAGGGTTCCGGGTGGGTTTGTGCAAAAAGCTGTCGGTCTAGGATGTGGTGTTTGGCGCCACTGTTGCGGGTGGGTGGCCATTCGGAACCCCTTGCAGCAACCCTTAAACCCAATACCCCAATCGTGTGTTCGGAGTGCCTGGTTCTCAGCAGCGACAGCCATAGATGTTCAAACGGCTTATGTGAAGCCTCTGAATGTTGAAACCGGACGAAACGCTTCTAGATCCCTGCAAAGCCAAAGTTGTGAGAATTACTCACTGCTTGAAACCCTGCTTGGACGTTCATGGGTAGTTATAAGTGGGGTTTTAAGTAGGGTAACTACAGTTATACGCCCTATTAGGGGACTTATAACCCCACTTATAATATAAACACACATGAACCTCCAAGTAAATCGTTCTAAACCTTAAACCCACCTCCAACTGTGGACTGCAGGCGATGTGGGGCTGCCAGGACCCCAGGAGTGTTGTCCTTCAGAGTATTTTGGGGGGTTTAGCTTTAAGTTTTGGGTTTTGGTTTTAGGCTTTAGGGTTTAGGTTCAGGGTTTGATTATTCCTTAGGCTTGCTGGGTTGTGATAATCCTCCCTAAACCCACAACCCTAAACACCGCTCATGCAGATGGGAAAAGGTGATTTGAAAATCCCTAAACCCCTAAACCCTAAACCCTCCCTTTAAAAAAAACCTCCCTTTCTGCCGTGCCAAGTGTTAACCTGTAGTTCCTCGAGGATGCTGGACAACAAACTAGGAGTCCGAGTAGCTAGATTTTGTTTATACAATAAACCCTAAACCCTAAAAGCCCTGTAAGCCCTATAAACCCTATAAACCCTATAAACCCTATAAACCCTATAAACCCTATAAACCCTATAAACCCTATAAACCCTATAAACCCTATAAGCCCTAAACCCTATGAGCCCTAAAGCCTAGACCCGATTGGCAAGCAGCCTTCCGTTGCAAGGATTTAATTGATTCGGAGTTCGGGGTTCAGGGTTCAGGGTTTGGAGCTTTGGGGTTTAGGAGTTCAGGGTTTCGGAGTTTAGGGTTTAGGAGTTCAGGGTTTAGGAGTTTAGGGTTTAGGAGTTTAGGGTTTAGGAGTTTAGGGCTTGGAGCTCTGGGCCGTGGGGTCCCTGGGGCTGGGATTAGGAGATCGTCGTAAGGATGGTATTAAAGCCCTAAACCCTAAACCCTAGTTAAGGCCCTGAAAGGGAAGAAAGGTGTTCATTACCGGGGCTCTGCATCAAGGGCTTCGGGCAGGGGGTGCTCAGAGAGCCCAATAGCCCTTAATTAAGGAATATACCTTAAATCATTGTATGAAGCCCTATATAATGAAAGCCATATAGCCCTTAATTAAGGAATATACCGTAAATCATTATATGAAGCCCTATATAATGTAACCCATATTTCTTAATTATAGGCTCTCTGGCTGGGGGAGGCTGATCCGAAAGCATCAGCGGTGCGACCTCGAGGCGCTGTTTGAAGAGATCTACACAGCAATGCCAGACTTCGTCCTTCGTGCATGTCGGCGGAACCCTACACCCTAAACCCTTAAAGTCCATGGGCCCCAAGGGGCGAGCAGGCTTTTCAGAAAAGGTCCGCTATCATAGACTAAAGAAACCCTTAAAGTCCATCTTCTGAGCGTGTCACCTGCGCAAACGCAAACGGGCCCTAGTACGGGCCAAGAATCGGTTTCGTTGGATGGTTCGCTGGCCTGCATGACCGTTGCCATGTTAGAGTTGAGGGTTCAGGGTGCGTTCATGAGGTTGGCAGGGAAGAGCGTGCACCTGAGAGTACAAGTGCTGAATGTTCCACAAAGTTCTTTCAGGAGGTGACTGAAAGAAACATGAACGACGACCACCTGATTGGAAGGAACCTCCTGCATCAATCGCACTCGCCTGGGGTTTGGCCTGACAGCCCTGGTCCGACCACCGAACATTGACACCTGTGGGGATGGTGTTCCTGACAGACAATCATCTTGCAGTGATTTTGGGCATCAAAGCCTCATCATGTTCGAACCCTCCAAACCGTCGACAGGCTCAATCTTCCTTCTGGCACCTTCGAAGAAGTCTAACACAAACAATCTGTTGAGACCTTTGTAAGGTTGCACTGTTTGTCGTCAGGGGCCCCTCTGCGCCCGACCATTTCCGGACGGCCGAAGAATGTGTTCTCCAGACCCCCGTCAGTAGTAGTACAGTAGTATGATAGAACGGTAGTAATTAAATACTGTTACAATAGTACAATGGTATAGCAAGTATGGTAGTTAGTTTTTACAATAGTACGGCAATGAATAAACAATTGTACACTAGTACCATAGTACGGCAGTAGAGTTGTAATGTCGCAGTGGTACTGAAACGGCGGTGGCGGCGGCGAAGGTTTTGAGGTTTCGGCTGGTTTCGTGTGCCTAGGGGTCCAGGTGGCCTTAACTAAAAGTGTCTGGGAGCTCCCGACAAAGGTTGGGTTTCGTGCACACAGGTCCGAACGCATACATACACACAGTTTGGGAGATAGATAGGTAGATAGGTAGATATATAGATATACGGGTGGATAGTAGAAAGGTAGAGAGACAGAGAGAGAGGGAAATAAGCATTGTTAAAGAAAGCAAGAAAGACAGAGAGAGAATAGAAGAGAGAGAGAGAGAGAGAGAGAGACTTTCTGAGGCAGCGCACCTCGTACGCCACTCTCGAGTCAAACAGTCCTGGGCGACACTGCCTTTGATTTGGCAAGGGTTCTTTGGTGCTTAGGGATTTACATAGGCTTTAGGGTTTGAGGGTTGATGGTATGTGGTTTCAATAGGCTTCTGTATTGGGTCCCAGTTCTGGGGCATGCGGGGCAGATGTTGGGTCTGGGTCTGGGGCTGTAGGTCGCAGGTGTCCAGCATCCCAGTGTCCAGGGCTTTGGGTGTCGAGTTTCAGGGGTGGTGTTTAGGGTTTCGGTTCTGCATGTAGTCCCCGGGGATCAAGCATGCAACAGTGTTATGTGCAGGGTCTTCAGTACGTGAGAATTATCCGGAGAAGCAAGACTTTGTTCAGGGGTTATGTCATACATACATACGTACATACATACATATATGCACATAAACGTCCGGACGCCGAAAGTTTCCGCTGTGCAATCTGAGGTGAGGCTCAGGATTTTTCCCCCTGGATTCTCAGAAGGCCTTCCGCAGCAAAGACTGTCTTCTCTGTGCCCATCCTCGAAACAAGCCCTAAACCACAAACCCTTGTAGAATCTGTATGGTGCCCTCAGCCGAACCCGTAAAGGTACCCTAGGTGTGTTGTCGGAAAATGTGCTCTCCGTGTATATGTTATACTCTTCACTTGTAATCAGTATTTCAGTTTTTACGTACTATATCAGATGGAAACATACTGAGACACATGCTGAGCACATAGATGAAGTTCTTTCTTGTTTGCAGGTTGCCGGCAGGAGCAGCGAGAGTCGACCGATTAGCTGAAGTCAGTAGCTTGTGCGCTCAGTCTCCCAGCGCAATGTTGCACATCAGGATGCTGTCAGGGGAAGAGGTGGACAGCACACCGGTGGGAAAGTTGAGCGACGTGAAGGAACTGAAGCTGCACCTGCATCAGCTGCACGGCCTTCCAACTCGATTCAGACAACGGCTGCTTCGTGATGGCCAGCCTATGGACGACTCTGTCGTGCTGGACTCGCCCATGGACTTAAACCTGGTTCTACTTCCATACTCCGCTGCATCGCAGGAGCGAATATTCGAGCTTGTGGCTGCTGCCGACAGCGGCTCCGCAACTGAGGTCCGTACTTTCTTGAAGGTTTAGGGTTTAGGATCCTTCTCAACCATCCCCCTCGAGCTGCAGCCCTGAAACCCGGTGTTTAGGATCGACTTCCTAGGAGACCTCGAGTTGCAATGCCTGCAGGTTGAAGCACTGCTGCAGCTGCCCCAAAATCCCGACGTGGCCACCAAAGAGGGCATGCGTCCACTGATCGCCGCCTCCCTGAGTGGCCACGTTCAAGTGATTCGTTTGTTGTTGGATGCAGGCGCCGACGTGAATTTGGCAAGCCAAGAGGGCATGCGTCCACTGATCGCCGCCTCCCTGAGTGGCCACGTTCAAGTGATTCGCTTGTTGTTGGATGCAGGTGCCGACGTGAATTTGGCAAGCCAAGAGGGCATGCGTCCACTGATCGCTGCTTCCCTTGGTGGCCACGTTCAAGTGGTTCGATTGCTGCTGGATGCAGGTGCCGACAAGAGTTTGGCAGACAACGATTGCCGCACTGCTCTGATCAAGGCTTCTGTTTACGGCCATGTTGAAGTGGTTCGCTTGCTGCTGGATGCAGGTGCCGACGTGAATTTGGCAAACGACGATGGCACCACTGCTCTGATCGCTGCTTCCCTTGGTGACAACGTTCAAGTGGTTCGCTTGCTGCTGGATGCAGGTGCCGACGTGAATTTGGCAAGCCACGATGGCACCACTGCTCTGATCGCTGCTTCCCTTGGTGACAACGTTCAAGTGGTTCGTTTGCTGCTGGATGCAGGTGCCGACAAGAGTTTGGTAGACAACGATTGCCGCACTGCTCTGATCATGGCTTCTGTTTACGGCCATGTTGAAGTGGTTCGCTTGCTGCTGGATGCAGGCGCCGACGTGAATTTGGCAAGCCACGATGGCACCACTGCTCTGATCGCTGCTTCCCTTGGTGGCCACGTTGAAGTGGTTCGTTTGCTGCTGGATGCAGGTGCCGACAAGAGTTTGGCAGACAACGATTGCTGCACTGCTCTGATCATAGCTTCTGATCAAGGCGATGTTGAAGTGGTTCGCTTGCTGCTGGATGCAGGTGCCGACGTGAATTTGGCAAACTGCGATGGCAATGATGCTCTGAGCGCTGCTTCCATTCGTGGCCACGTTCAAGTGGTTCGTTTGCTGCTGGATGCAGGTGCCGAATAGTTTGGCAGACAGCATTTGCGACACTGCGCTGATCATGGCTTCTAAAAAAGGCCATGTTGAAGTGGTTCGCTTGCTGCTGGATGCAGGTGCCATTGTGAGTCTGGCAAACTGCGATGGCAATACCGCTCTGATCGCTGCTCCCCCTCGTCATGGCCACGTTGAAGTGGTTCGTTTGCTGCTGGATGCTGGTGCTGACAAGAATCTGGCAAACGGCTTTTGCGACACTGCTCTGATCAAGGCTTCTGATCAAGGCCATGCTGAAGTGGTTCGCTTGCTGCTGGATGTAGGCGCCGAGGTGAATTTGGCAAACGACGATGGCACCACTGCTCTGATCGCTGCATCCGTTCGTGGCCACGTTCAAGTGGTTCGTTTGCTGCTGGATGCAGGTGCCGACATTAGTTTGGCAGACAGCATTTGCGACACTGCGCTGATCATGGCTTCTAAAAAAGGCCATGTTGAAGTGGTTCGCTTGCTGCTGGATGCAGGTGCCATCGTGAGTCTGGCAAACTGCGATGGCAATACCGCTCTGATCGCTGCTTCCCTTCGTCATGGCCACGTTGAAGTGGTTCGTTTGCTGCTGGATGCTGGTGCTGACAAGAATCTGGCAAACAGCTTTTGCGAGACTGCTCTGATCATGGCTTCGTTTTACGGCCATGTTGAAGTGGTTCGCTTGCTTCTGGATGCAGGTGCCGACGTGAATTTGGCAGACAACGATTGCGACACTGCGCTGACCATTGCTTCCCGTCGTGGCCACGTTCAAGTGATTCGTTTACTGTTGGATGTAGGTGCCGACGTGAATTTGGCAAGCAACAATTGCGACACTGCGCTGATCATGGCTTCTGCTCAAGGCCATGTTGAAGCGGTTCGCTCGCTGCTGGATGCAGGTGCCGACGTGAATTTGGCAAACAAAGTAGGCGAAACTGCCCTGATCCGCGCTTCTTATCTAGGCCGCATTGAAGTGGTTCGTTTGCTATTGGATGCTGGTGCCGACAAGAATCTGCCGGGTACCTATGACTACACTGCCCTGATCAACGCTTCTAATCAAGGCCACGTTGAAGCTGTTCGTTTGCTGCTGGGCGCAGGTGCCGACAAGAATTCGGAAGACAACGATGAAAAGTCAACCAACAAACGGAGCCGCGACATTCAGCTGAGCACTTCGAAAAGGCCAAGGTGAGCTTCTACAAGTGTTGACGGCATCGCATGCAAGGACTTACTGAGCGATGGCGACGTGATTGCCCTCTGAACCTGGGTAGGCCTTTGGGTTATTTACATCTTTTCCCTTATTGGGGTTATTTACATCTTTTCCCTTATTGGGTTTATGAAGACCCTATACACACACATATATATATATATACTTTATTTGTCAAAGGGCTCTAAAGGCCATCCCAGCGAAGTTCCTTTGGCAGCTTCTGTCCATGTTGCATCCTCTTCTGGGGCCATCGCGTCTGCCAGTGCCGCAGAAACAAAACTGTTTTGATGGTGGTCCCACGAGTGAGTTGCAACCTCTTCAATCCCAAAGCCCTAAACCCTTGAACCCTAAAACCCTAAAGCCCTAAACCCTAAACCCTAAACCCTAAAACCTTAAAACCCTAAACCCTAGGGGGTTTAGGGTTTGGTCTAACGAGTTCTTGAAGCCCAAGCCCTGCCTGTGGCCCAAAAGACCTACCCTTTTAAAAGGAACTATATGTGGAAATCCTAAACCCTAAACCTGGAGAAAAGTAGCGGCAAAAAAAAATAAACCCTAAAAACTATGGAAACCATAATGGGAAACTCTAAAAATGTAGGTCTTTTCGGCTACAGGTGGAGTTCGTTTCGGTAAGGCTGTCGGGTCAAGCAGCTCTAAGGTTTCAGCCAGAGGATGAAGGTAGGGCTTAGGAGTTTAGGGTTTCGGAGTTCAGGGTTTCAGGTTTAGGGTTTAGGAGGTTAGGGTTTCGGGTTACGGAGTTCAGGGTTTCGGGTTTAGGGTTGCGGAACTGTGGAACTGTGGGAGAAACATAGGAGGAGTCTACACGCACAAGCCCGACTGAAGCCTTCGCCCCATTCTACAGGTCCAAGACATGCAAGGTCTGAATGGTCCCTACTATGCTCTTACTCCCCAAAACCCCGAACCCCCAAACCGGTACGAGCCTCACGAACGGGATAGGGGTTTCGCAGCTCTGTGCCGGAGAGCGCGACCCCCAAAGCCTAAAGCCCAATCCCTAAACCTAGACCCGAGACCATGAAGGCAAAACCAGAGATTTCCAAGGGCGCCACAACAAAGCCCTACAGCCTACACTGAGCCCCGAACGTTAATTTCTCATATAGGAGCTTAAATAATCACCAATACTACTTTGGGGTTTCTTCTTATAATGACAGTATACTAGGCCCCAAAACCGTATTCTAATCATTAAGGCTCCTGTATTACACCATATGGACCTAATGCTGCCCTCCAGAGTCTGACAATTGGAGTCCGGGTTAGTCCCGATGTCGCAGCGTTCCACCCTAGAGACCTTGTCCGAGTATCAGGACCCCCTCAACCCTAAACCCTTTAAGCCCCAAACCCCTAAACCTTCAACCCCAAACCCCCAAATCCCTAAGCCCCAACCCCTTAACCCTAAACCCTAAACCCCCCCCCCATTGTACCTTCAAATACGGGAAAATGGTACCTAGGTAGTACTAATTGATGTCGACCCGGAACATCACAATTCCGAAACCACCTAACCCGTAAAAAATCTTTCTACTTAGGCCCCGGACCTCTGTTCGATTTCGGTACCCAGGTTCGAAGCACATTAACCCAATTCAGCGGAGCGTGCCGTAAGTATAGCCTATATGACTGAGTCTCGTAAGCCTTTATATAATATATTCTCGTCAACTCTAAATACGCCTCATATAGCCACGGCTGTAAAGAACGTTTCGGCCACTAGGGAGTAAGCCAAGCGAGCCTTCGAACGACATAAGACCAAATCTTAAACCTGAAGCTTCCAAGAAGTCTGAGCCATGCCAAACCTTAAAACCTAATTCAAAACCTTAAGATTCTGAATCCTAGAATTTCAACGAAATCCAAGCCATCCGAACCCCTGAAACCCTCTACTAGGCTGCCCAGTGGTACCCTTATTCCCTTTTTGTAGTCCTAGGTTCCTTGTAAAGTTACCCTATACCAGAAAAGGAGCCCTTTTTATTCCTAGGTTACTGGCAATCCTAGGTTAGGAACCCTGAACATAAAACCTCTACACCATACGGCTGTTAGTACAAATCCTGCATTACCCATAATATGGAATAGCCATCCGAAACCTGAAACCCTCGAAGAAAAGTCTAAAGCCTCTCGAAGCCAGGTCGCGTCAAGATTCTGCAGCTGCGGCCACGGCGGCGGCATCGGGCGAGGGAGAGCAGGAGGTGCAGATGTTGGTTCCCACTTCGAGTCTTTCTTTGTTTAGGGTTTAGCGTTTAGGAGTTTAGGGCCTCGGGTTTAGGGTTGAGGGTTTGGGCTTGAGGCTCGAGGGTTGAGGGTTTAGGGTTTAGGCTTCAGGGTTTAGGGTGATGTACTTACTGTATAGGGACCTTAGTCATTTAAAGCGGGGTTTGGGGATGTATGACTAAGGAGCCCTAAGGCCTTCCGACAGAACAGGTGTCATTATTCAGCCCACTGTCTTCTGCGAGTTTACGCTGTGTTGCAAGGTCGCTCTCCTAAGTAGTGCCACCTGTACACCCTAACCTATGAACCGCTATGCCGAAAACACGGGCTTGGAGAAAAAATGCAAAACTCTCCGCGTAGCATGCCTCAAAAAGACCATGGCCACAGTTTCTGCGCTTACACCCTAGAAATGGCACCCTGATGGATATGGATGGAATGCTACAAACAACCCGGTAAACCATCCGTGAAACCCCGTCTTTGACTGATTAAGGAAGGAAGGCACGGTTTCAAGCAGCAAGATGTCTTCGGCAAGGGTTTTCGGGGGTTTAGGGTTTAGGGTTTGTGGGGATTAGGTCTTTGGGTTTGGGGCCTTTGGATTAGGTTTTAGGGTTTTGGGGCTTAGAGTTCGACACCTTGCATCCCAAACCCTCAATCCCACACCGTCTCACACCCCTGAGAACCTAAACCCCCTGAGCGGGGCTAATGTTACATGGGCGGATCGCTTCCCAATCCCACTGAGGCGGGGTTTGCCGATTCAGAACGAAACGACACATCGGAAGACGAGACAATGAGTTGCTCACGTAGCGATGTGTCGAGGCTGAACGACAGGGTTATGCAAGCGTTAAGCAGTTGTCGAATAAATTATTGAAGGGTCACCGGATTGCAAGAACTGCAGAATTTGCGAACTCAAAGGAATGGCAATGCGGGGAGACAACAATCCCTCGCATCACCTCGGTTATATAAGGCCCGCAGAATACGGAATTCGGCATCAAAAGAATATTTCAATGGAGCGAATCAGGCGAAAAGGATTAGAAGTTTAACATAAGGAGCAAACCGCCGGAAAGAGTCTGGAGAAAAGGGCGAACCCGTCCAAAGGCTTTAAGCACGTTGAAATCAACAGCAAATCGCTCGATTGAGACTGGGAATCTGACAAAGACGAGAAACCTAACCAGCGAAGCCGCCCTGTGCCTAAAATGTTAGTAGCCGCACCACCTGTGGCAACGTTCCATCAACCCCCCTCCGTAAATTTGGTTAGCTAACGTGGACTATTCTCCTCCAGAAGTCCGGAAATTTCCACTCGCTATAGGAAGGCAAGGGATGGTGCAAACTACACTGCCGTTTTGGGTCTATGGGCCGAAAATACCAGGACACCCTGTTTTGCAGTTCCTTTTGTAGTTTTGTAGCCGCTCTATACTTCTACTACCATTTGCTGCAAGATGCCAAGACTCTATCGTAGTTATTAGGGCATTGGCCTGTAAGCCTAGCACCCTGTGTTGTAGAACCTTGATAGAACACTTAAAGAAACCTTATATCCTACAATGGTCCCTCTACCCAAAGGTAGAAGCCCTTAGCGGAATCCTGAGAGGTCCCCAATAAACCCTAAACCCTTAACCCCTAAACCCTCAACCCTAAACCCTAAACCCTAAACCACCCTAAACCCTTAACCCCTAAACCCTCAACCCTAAACCCTAAACCCAATCACGGTGTTACAGAGACCCCTTCACAGTGCTGTCTGCGAGGCTCCAGAGCCCCCGGAGGGAAGGCACGGGTTCAAGCAGCAAGATATAGTCAGCAAGGGTTTTCGGGGGTTTAGGGCTTTAGGGTTTAGGGGCTTAGGGTTTAGGTTTGCGGGGTTCAGGATTTTTCGGGGGAGGTCTAGGCCCTATACTGAAGGGTTAGTGGCTTTAGGGGGTTGAGGTCCAGGGTTTGGGGCTTTGGGCTTCGGTTTTAGGGCTTTGGGGCTTTGCATTTGGGGTCTCTTGTGGGAACTTGTTCGGGGAACGCCAGGTTCTGACTCCCGAGAGAATCGGATCCGTTCTGTATAGTAAAGTAAGGCCCTGTGAGGCACCCCTCCGGGAATTGTTTCCGACATAGCCGGAGGGGGTGCCTTCCAGGGGCCTTAAACGAACCTTGATCGGAACCCTGAAACGATAAGGGTTTAGGGTTGAGGGTTTAGGGTTTGCCATCACTGTGCAGGCGGGCCTCCGGGGTGACGACGACTGTCTGAGTCCGTGCGGAAGCTGTCCAACTACCTTCCGCCGAGCCGTGCAAACATACGAAAGTTAAGGTTTCGTGTACAAGCCCGGGTAGGGCCGGGTAGGCGTTTTGGGATTTCGGGTTTAGGGTACGAAAACCTAAGGCATCAAAACCTTCAACTGCAATAAAAGGGTTTCAATGAACAGAATAGGGCTTTGCCAATGTCTTGCACAGATTGTACGGATTTAGGGTTCAGGAGATTAGTGTTTAGTGTTTAGGGACAGTTAGAGTTTTAGGATCATGGTGGCCTTGTCGCCCATGCATCACTTACGGTCCTCGTTCTTTTCAGCGCAGGATTTCTTTCAGTTTAGATTTACGTTTTAGGGTTTTGTCGGCAAGCCTCGCTTTGACCTTAAGCCGTCATTCCCTAAACCCGTGACACCGAAACACTCAGAAACACGCACGACTAGAAAGCCACACTATAGAAGGCTGAATGATGACCACTATTATACATCCCTTCGGGTTCCTCAGAAACTTAAAGCATAATTCCGCAAACGCCCTGTTCTGATTATCAAGCCCCCGCAGTACCCTACACCCTAAACCCTAAACCCCATACCGCTCATGAGACGTTTCAGTCCTGAACTAGCTTCTTGGGTTCAGGGTTCCGAGGGTTCCTTGCTCTATTTCGAGTTTGATTCCCTAAACCCTAAACCCTAAACCCAAACCCGTTGTTCTAAGTGTTAAGCTGTTGCAGTACAAGACCCTGCATCCCTCAGCCCTCAACCCTAAACCGTAAACCCTAGAACCCTACATAAACCCTACATAAACCCTAAAACCCTAAAGCCCTAAACCCTAAACCATAAAACCCTAAACCCTAAAACCCTAAACCCTAGACCCTAAAACCCAAGCCCGCAACCAGCTTCTTGGGCAGCTTCCAGTCGGCAGCCGCTGTCTTTTCGCCACAGCTGCGCTCACAAAGCGATTTAGGCTTTGGGGCTGACTGAGTTACAGAAAGGCCAAACCCCTAAACGCAGAGCCCCCATAAAGGCCCCCCCAAACGGCTGCTCAGCTTTCTTTGGTTCAAGCGGCTGAACGCAACTACGAACCTGACTAGAGCAGATTCTACAAGTACAGTCCTGCATTTTGCATGGTTAAACCATGCCGTGCTCCTGTGCTTTCTGGACGTTTGCTGTCGACTCGCAAGGATGCGTGGGCTTAGGGTTTACTTTAAACTACCAAAGCATTTTTTGCAGAGCCCTTGAAGATTCGATATGAAGTATAAAAGAGCCTACAAAAAGGCAGGGTGCTCATAGTTTCTATTTTATGGTAAACCTACAAGAAGAACCTATAAGGGATAGGTGTAGGGTATACAGCGTGGTTTGCGGTTTATATAGGGTTAGCGCTGCGGGGTACACAAACGTGACTGAAGCGTCCAGGTCCCACTTTGTTTCCCAAGTTTGTACCAGAGTGCGAGCAGTCTTCGGCTGTAGAAATGCATTCTTGCACGCTTCGGGGATAATGAGGGTTTGGGGTTTGAGGGTTTAGGGTTTAGGCTTCTAAAATAATGAGGGTTTCCTTGGTAGTATTCGGTAGACCCCTTAAAGGGGACCCTTCTTAACCCTACTTATGGTTCTCCTCAGCGGGACCTGATTGAGAGGATTTACGTCCCCAAACATCCCCCTAATCAGTAACTCCTAGAATCCTGGACTCGAGGAGAATGAGGGTTTAGGGTTGAGGGTTTAGGGGGGCTAGTCACCCCTATAATAATTTAGCCATAAAACCTTAGTCCTTTGATCCGTCTCCCTGTCCAGTGCCAGTCACCATGTAGGCTTCGTCGCATCAAGTGTTTAGGGTCCAGCTCTTTTACCCGCTATCGCCGCTGCGTTCAAGCTCTTCCAACACCCCAGGTGTCACAAGCAAGCAGACGCCCTAGTGGAAGGACCAGCGGATTCAGCAATGGTAGTTTGGGCTGCTAGACGCAGTGGCTTCAGCCAAAGTCTTTGCCGGGCCCGGTCAGTCTATTCTCGACTTTGCAGAAAGACTCGAATCCCAAAAGCCCGACAGACAATCCACAATCCCAAAGCCGCGAAGCCGTGGAACCCTTAACTCCAAAACCCTGAAGCCCTGGACCCCGATTAATTACCCTAACAATCCTAGTGGTGACTTAAACTCTGATATGCAACCAAGCCATATCAAGAATCACAGTACCACTTCAGAGGCACCTTTACAGAGCTAGCTGGACTTGTTGGGTTTCGGATAAGATCGGATTCTGTCTTGCAGCGGGGCCATGGCGTATCCAGGTTCCAGTGATGCCACTCCGGTACCCGCTTCTGTTACAGCCCCTCGTTCTTACCCTAAACCCTAAACCCTAAACCCTAAACCCCAAAACCCTAAAATTCGGGGCGGCCCTCTCTGGGGCTCTTCATGCTGCGACCCCTACCATTTTTGAGTTATATAGCTTCAGGATCCTATGAACCTATCATGTACCTTAGCCTGCCAAACCCTACTGTCTCGTAGGTTCTTAATATAGACGCAAATTGGGAATTTGTAGGGACCCGCCAAAAACGTAGGTTTTAGTAGGCAAAGGTAGGGCTTCATATAGTTTCAGGATCCCACTAATGTAGGAACCTGATTAAGAAACCCTGGGCCTATAACCCCCAAAAAGTAAGATTCATATAAGGAACCCTCAAAAAGGCCCAAGGTTTCTTAATCAGGTTCCTACATTATTCCTCGGCCGGGAGATCTGGAAGGGCCTGCAGAACGCTCGAAGGATTGTGGGACTTACGGAGGGAGCAAAATGGGAGTTTCCGAAAATAAGGGGGGGGGGTACCGTATTGCGGGGTCCTCATAATAAGGATCCTACTATTTGCGGTACTATATTTGGGTCCCCTCTTGTCCCCAAACTCCCATATGTACGGTGGTCTGTACCATGGTTGGGCCACTTGCACCTGTGACCTCAGTTATTGTCTGATTCCTACTAAACTGGGAGGCACGTATCTGATTGCAAGGCTTCTGGCCTCTCCCTAAACCTTAGAAATCCTATACAACTTATGCCCTAGGAAAGGATGTTCACGGGAGTCACGGAACCGGCCAGGGTGGCACCACGGGACTACGGAAAGACTGCACGCAAACTCCAACACGCGCACTGAACGCGCACCTTCAAAATTTAGGGTGTAAGGTTTTGGGTTTTGGGTGTAGGCTGGGAGCCACTGATCTTGAGGGGTTGTATAAGGGTTTCATAAAGGGGAGCCAGGTTAGCCCCAAGCTGAAAACTCGCAAGCCTTAAGCCCTTAACCCTAAAACACGTTAGATCCCTAATCTCCGCAACAAACCCCAAATCTTGGAGGATCTTGGAGGAGGCGCCCCGTTTCCCCAAACCCTGAACCCCGAATCCGAGAACCCGCTTCTGGACTTGGATCCCGGCGATGTGGATAGCCGCGTGCTCGGACGTGGCAAGCGAAAATTCGCGGTTCCGTTTCGTGTTCTTCTTGCTGCCTTTGTTTTAACCCTAAGCCGTAGACCTGTAGCTTTTGTTTTTGATTCTGAAAGATACCGGCAGGGATCTTCAAAGCAGATCTACACGAGGGTGCTGAGGCTCAAGGCCTTTGGCGTAGGGTTAGGCTTCTATGTTTTTTTACGAAGATTTTTGGGTGCGGGGTTTTGGCGTTTGAGGTTGGGGCCTTTCGGGTCAGTTCAGCGTTTCACGGGCTTTAGGTCTAGCTGGCATTTGGGTAAGACATGAGGTGAGCGTTGGGATGTCGATTCTGATGCCTTCTGCCCCACAGCCTGAGACGCGTAACCTTAAACCTCAGACTCCAAACCCTGACGCGCTAACAAAAACTCAAAACTACACAGCTCCTCATCACTAGTAGGCTGAAACAGCAAAACCCTAAGACCCTGATGCCACGAAAGGCCACGAAAGCTTTGAGTTCCGAAACTTTATAAAATCCTGAACCATGCAAGCCCGCATCCTGCAACCAACAACAACAGCTAGACTCTTAAACCCAAAAGCCCAAACCAGCAAACTCCCAAACCCTCAATCCTTTTAGCATCTGCAAGAATTCTCATAAATACTCCATGAGACCTTGTCGGATTGTTACGGCCCCTCTACCCTAAACCCATGCAGAACCCTTCCAGCAGGAACTCTATTCTAGTTTTCACGGTCCTTAAAGGCCTTAAAACCTAAGCCCTAAACCCGAAAGCCCTATTCCAGTGATTGGGGCCCTTTGCGCCCCTCTGCTGAAGCTGGGCCCTCTATTGACAGCAACTCAGTATTAGCGCCAATATAGTAAGCCATCAAAAACCCTAGTATAGGAACCCGTTGCTATTTCCAAAGAAGCCTTAAAGCCTGAACACTGAGCCCTAAACCCGAAAGCCTAGACCCCAAACCCTAAACCGTAATGATTAAAGGGTTAAGGTATACTACTTGGAGGTTCGTGGGCAGTTGTAAGTGGAGTTATAGGCAGGGTAACGAGACTTGTCCCTCCTATTAGGGGACTTATAACCCCACTTATAACTACCCATGAACCTCCAAGTACCCAGAGAGCCCAATACCCCTTAATTAAGGAATATACCTTAAATCATAATACGAAGCCCTATTTTTTTAAAGCCATATTCCTGAATTAAGGGGTATTGGGCTCTCTGGGTAAGGTGCGCTAAACCATGGCACCGCAGAAATGCGCCCAAGGCTCTGCAGCTGGACTTAGAGATGGCAGGCATCAGCCCACGCCAAGGGATCGGTGTAATGTCTTAAAGGGTTCCTTAAAGGGCTCTTTAAAGGGTTCTGTAAGGGTTTAGGATTAAGGGCTCTTTAGAGGGTTCTATAAGGGTTTAGGATTAAAGGGCTCTTTAAAGGTTCTATAAGGGTTTAGGACTGAAGGGCTCTTTAAAGGGTTCTATAAGGGTCTAGGATTTATGGTTGAAGGTTTAGGGTTTGGAGTTCAGGGTCTAGGGTGCAGGGTTTAGCGTTTGGGGTAGGTTTAAGGGTTCAGGGTTGCCTTTGTTTCCCGTGAGCTGAGCTCCACAACTCTC